TCTTCTTCACATTTCTCTGCACGTGATGCCTTGTATACAGAAGGTGCTCAGTGAGTTGTTGATCAGAAAGGAAGAGCGGGAAGGAGCCTCCTCTCTCAGCAACCATGTTGGCCCCGCTTATACCTTCAGGCTTTCTGTCCTGTTTGCCACCCATCCATCCGTCCCCTCTCCCAAAAACTAGTGTTGCATTTTGGGGTAAAAAACTAGTGTGCATTAGTGTTGCATTTTGGAGGTCAAATGGGGTGTCCTCACATCCAGACAGACGGTAGAAACGCGCACCTATAGGTCTCCAGGGAGCATTGTCAGGAACCCAGTATGTTGACAGTGATGCTAAGACGCTAGGGCCATGGGCACCTCAGCACCAGGTTCCAGGCTCTGGCTTGTGGTGGGAGCCTGGACAGGCTGGGACGCGGGGACTCGGGAGGGAAGTGAAGCAGGATGGGGTTTTGCCAGGGACTGCCCCTCTGAGCCCAACGCTGGCCTGTCTCTTAGGACCTCACCCACATGGACATCTGGGCCGTTACTCTGGGGATGGACTTCAGTTCCCTGTCCCCACAAAGCTGGTGATGGGTGGCATTTAAATTTCACTCCCCGCCTCGGGAATTCTCTTCGTCCTCCCTCTCCTCTGCTGATGTTGGGCGGGCCAAGCCACAGAAAGCTGGCTGCCTCCCCCCACCCCCTTACGGGGCTCCCAGGGTGTGTACTCTGCTGGCCTTTCCTGCCCATGTACTCTGGAAGCTTCCAGGGGGGAGCCAGACCCTGGCAAGCGGGCTCCTTGGGCTGCCTTCCCCGGCTTGGGTCCGATTCATCAGGCTCAGAGGGGCGGCCCCCTATGTCTTTTACTTTCCCTGGCTTGATAGAGAATTGCTGGAGCCGGGCTTGGGGGAGGCTGGTGTGTGGAGGCCCCCAGCCCTCTGCAGCTCCCAGAGTCCAGGCTTTGTGTGCAGGAGCTGGAAGGGAATGGACTTTTTGTCTGGCTCTATAGTGAGACTGGCCCTTGCTCCTGGCTCGGCCTGGGGGCCCTGAGTCGCAGCCCTGTTCCCACACGAGTCTTGCCACAGCCAGGGCTCTGCCCCCCCTTCCCCCCCAGTGAGCGGCCAGGATACATTCTCAGCATTCTTTCCAGGGAGAAGGGGTGAAATGTCTGAATTTAGGGGTGACCATATTATACAAATTGCCATCTAATTGTTTTTACAAGAACACACTTGCAGTAGGAAAAGGCCCCCCCGGAGGTGGTGCTGAGACGGTTTGTTTTGTCCCTCTTCCCCCTCCAAAGTTTGGGGCTATTGTTGGCTGATCTCTCCCTCCACCAGAGCAGTTGAGCTAGAGTTTTCTAGTTAAATTGGTCCTGGGGTGGGGGCCATGAAGGGCCCATGGTGCCATTTCTGTTTGTTTTCCCAAATCAAAGCCACAGCAGGGCCCCTGTGGCACCGCTGGGCTGCCATTGGAAGAGACGGGCCATTTCCCAGAGCCTGGTGTGTCAGTTTATACTCTGAACTTAACCTCTTGGGCACACACAACAGAGCCTTGAGGGTTCCGGGCCCAGAGGCAAAAGAAATTGTATCTCTTTATTGGCCCATTTAAAGCGTGTGTGGCCTTTTCAGAGTACCAAGAAGAGCATGGCAGACAGTCTGCAGCCCCTGGCCGAACTGGTGGGACTTGTCCTGGCCCCGAGGGCTGGTGTTCACTTGGCCTTTGGGTCTCTCCCAGATGGGGAGAAAATTTTGTTTCTTATCACAGATGTGGCATGACATTTTTCAGTGATGGGCTCGGACACGGAGGCAGGGGCCCAGGGTGGCAGTGCCATCTGGAGGCGGCGCTTACACTGCCTGCCCAGCCCAGTGGTGCCCAGCTCTCCTTCTCAAACCCAGGACCAGCTGTGGGCAGGTAGAGCCATGCTGGGCTTCACCTCCCCAGCCCCCACTGCCTTTCATCTTCTATTTCAAACACACAAACATGAAATTACTTCAGTAGATTAAAGGGGAGAGCTCCTCAGTCATTCCTGCAGGCCTCACTAATGGAGGGGGCAGGGCCCCCAAATCTAGGTGGAGAGGGGGCACTGCGGAGCAAAACAGCCCCTACCTGGTATGCACCAGTGTGTGCGCACCTGTGGGAGCGACCAGCCCATCTGGGAAGACAGAGCTTCCTGGGAGCTGAGGTCAGTGACCCTCAGAGATGCTGACCTGATCCTTTCTGCCTGATCCTTCATAGCATCACCCCCACGCCCCCAACACAGGCTTATCATCAGCTTCCACTGATGGGAGAGTCCGTCCCTGGGACAGAGGCTGGAGCAGGGGTGCTACAGCGAGTGTGCGCCCCGCTGGGTCACTGTAGTGCCCAGGGCTCCAGTGGGGAAGGCAGCGTGAGCAGATGGGAGCCCCCAGCCCCCGCCTCTGCCTGCAGGGAAGATGGCTTTGCTGGGGAGAGGGAGGCGGACGGTCAGCCTGTGCGTGGAAGGACTGGAGGTGAGGGCGTGTTCACCCGTCTGCCCCGGCCCTGGAGGATACTGCTGGGGCCAGGGCTGGACTGGTGAGACCACCCAGTCCTCACACCCTGTGCCCTCTTACCTGGTGTCTCTGTGAGTGACCGTGGCCATGCTGTCGTCCTGCCAGGGAGGAGAGCCCGGCATCCCTGGGTGAAGCTGCGGGGTTGGCCCTGGAAGGGGCCCCTCTTTTTCTTCATTCCCCCCAATCATGCTGCAGAAACTCACTGCATCTACCCGTCCCCAAGCCACAGGGATTAGCGGGTGTACTTGATGTTGAGGGGTAGTTGCTAGGGCCAGGAGGCCCCCCTACGTGGTTGCTAGGGGTCCGGCATCAGGGCGAGGGGTCTGCCCACTGCCGCGGTCACGGAGGGAATTACACAGTCACAAAGAAATTGTTCTTCTCGGTAATCTGCTCGAGGCCACCGGGCGGGGTGAGGGTGGGGGAGCGAGCCGGAGCGCAGCAGGCTGGGGGCTGTGATCACAGAGGCGTGCGAGCCCCGGGCCGGGGGCCAGCGGCCCAAGAACACCAGGGACCAGCCCGCTAAGCTGCTTTCTCAGCGATTTCTCTCCCCAGACACAAAGGTGTTTACTTGTTTTAACATCTCCTGAGACTCCCCTTCTCCCTTTGTGTGGTCTTTATCCCCAATGAGGTTTGAGCCCCAGATTACAGGCGGGAATTAAGGCATTGGACTCGGGCAGCTCAGAACGGCATGACCTGCAGGATCAAGGAGTATAAAGTAACCGAGTGTGTGTGTGTGGGGGGGGGCGACCTCTTCAGCAGGGCCCATTCATGTCTGCGGGAGGAGAGACTGCGGTGGCGTGGCGGCACGCAGGTGTGGTGGAGGGAGTGCTGGCCTCCGGGGGAGCCCTTCAGCAGGGGGAAGGGGCCCGGGCTGGGGGCTGCCCTCCCAGGCCCCTTGCTGAGGGAGTCTAGTTCTTGGGGAGGAGAGCAGCATCTGCCCAGGGGCTGATGCCATTTGCAGGTGAAAAGAATGTGTGTGGGCCAAGGTGGGCCGACCTCTCCTTACCTCCTCAGCCTCTCCTTACCTCCTCTCTCTGCAGCGGGCAGCTGATGACACACTTGGGCAGTGACTTCCCTCCAGGGGCTGGGGTGCTGGACGTCATGTATGAGTCCCCCTCGACGCTCCTGTCCTGCGGCTATGACACCTACATTCGCTACTGGGACCTCCGTGCCAGTGTCCGGTGAGCGTACAGGGTGGGAGGCCAGTAGCAGGAGCCTGTGCCAGCGCCACGGGCCCACAGGGAGGACACAGAGTCCACGTCAGGGGTCCACCACGTGGGACACCCCACCCTGGGCATTCCTGGTCCCAGGAGACCAGGGCCTGGGAGACCACAGGCACCGGGCCCTGGAAAGGGAGGGCATTTCTTAAAACCCCGGGAGCTGTCAGGTGTGGCCCCTCAGTCTTCCGCTCCAGCCCATCTGGGAGCCTAGCTGATGTCGCGGTCTGCGAAGCACGGGTGCCGGCATAAGCTGCCGTGGAGTCCGGGGCTTGGCAAGTGCAACCTTTATAGAGGAGGATTTTAAAGAATTTGGGGACTCAGCTTCCTTCTCTCCCAGTTAAAAATGGTTCCCGAAGGCCCCGGAGGAAGCTGGGGTGGAGGTCTCCCCTGAACCGCCCACCTGCATCTCCTCTTCTTGGACAGGAAGTGTGTCATGGAGTGGGAGGAGCCCCACGACAGCACCCTCTACTGCTTGCAGACAGATGGGAACCACCTGTTGGCCACAGGGTCCTCCTACTACGGTGTCGTGCGACTGTGGGACCGGCGCCAAAGGGCCTGCCTGCACGTGAGTGCCTGCCTCGGTCCTGGGGGGTGACTCCTGGAGGGGGTGGAAGCCTCCAATGGCAAAGGTCCCACTGACCTGGGCATCTCAGGGTCAGTCTCTTCCAGCCCCCAATGGGAAAGCTCTGCCCATTCTTGTGCCTTGCCTTGTAGGCCTTCCCGCTGACGTCGACACCCCTCAGCAGCCCTGTGTATTGCCTGCGCTTCACCACCAAGCATCTCTATGCTGCGCTGTCTTACAACCTCCACGTCCTGGACTTTCAAAACCCGTGACCTGTGGGCCAGGGAAGCCAGTTACTCAGGGACTCTCCTGACTGGAGGGTGCAGTGATACCTCCTCCCCTGTCCCATGGCGCCTGCGGTTCTAGACCTGTGACTCCAGCTGAAGGCTACCCACTGACTCGGGATTTGGAGTCACCAGGGGCTCGGTCCCTCCTAGGAACCAGAAGGAGAGAAGAGATGTGCTGCTGAGACAGGTAGCCAACCTGGCCAGGCCTTGCTTCCCTGTTGGCTAGAGCAAGGATCAGGCCTGCACCCTGGCCTGCAGACCCTCGAGCCGTGACAGCTTAGTGAGGCGAGGTGCTCAGCCTTCCCAGCTGTTCCCTTTCTGCCCCTTGCCTGGAAGGAGGGGTAAGGCTGCCAGTACGCCTGCTGGCACCGGCCCCTCCCACCTCAGTCAGACACCTCCCCCCCCCCCCCCCCCCCAGCCTTGACCAAGCTCTCCCTGCTGGGACACTGGCCTCCTCTTGATTTGAAACCGAGAGAGGACAAAGGGAACCCAGCAGTTCTGAGCCAACCCAACTTCAGGTTGGCTCTTAAAACATGCTACAGTGTTCACTTTTGTAAAAAGTAAAGCTTGATTATTCACAGATCTGTTTCCTCATTGGCTGTGGAGTCCTGGAAGACCCCAGGTTGAGGGAACAACAGATTCAAACTTGGGGATGTGCATGCTGGGAATAGGGCTCAGTGCTCCAAAGAATAAAGGTTTCTCTTCAGGAAGACCTCTATGGAGACCCCTGGTCTCCTGGCACCCTGGATGCTGGGGTAGGTGTCACCTGTAGGTGTGGAGAGGGAACTGTGGATGGGCTGAGGGCGCCCAGTGCTCTCCATCTGCACACGCTATGTCCAGCATGCACACCCCCACCACCCTAATTGTGGCTTTTCACCAATGTCTCAATATCCGGGGCTCTGTTTCCAAGGCTTATGTATTTTAAAAATGTCTTCCTCTCCTACATCTATCTTAGGGCGTCCACTTCTGCAAACTAGGGTAGCACAGGGTCCCTGCCAGCCTAGCCTTGGCCTCCATTGAAGGCTCATGCCTCCTTCATGCAGAAGACTTTAGGTTGAAGGTCCTCCGGCTGGAGGAGAAGGGAATGTATAGCCCCCCATCTGGGGACAGGAGCATACAGAAGTGGACAAGAGGGCAGTCTACCCACAGCGACTCAGAGTGACTTTACTCAGCAGATGCGCTCAGGATGCCCCGAGGCCCGGTTCTTACAGAGTCTGATAGCTCCTGGGAGAGAAGAGGCTGCCCCTGCATGGAAACACCTAGGCCCTGAGGTCTCATGGGTGCACTGGAAGAGCCTCACCGTCCTCTAGCTGGGGGTGCACATCCTTCATGGTGGGGGTGCTCACTACTGGGTCTTGCAGTCCCCATCACTGCTATGGGCCGTCTTCACCTTCTTTAGCTCCTTCTGCAGTTCTGATTCTGCTAACAGGACCTCCTTTGGCTTTTGGTACTGTGCATGGGCCAGAAAAAGGGCATAATTTAGTTATCCCACCCCTACCACACCACCCCTTCTGAACCCTCTATTCAGAGATGAGGAAATTGAGGCCTAGCGGGTTGAAGGATTTGCTCAAGGTCACATGGCTGCGTAAGAACAGGCCATGGACCAGAACCCGGTGCTGTGATTTCAACCTCCCCCAGGCACCTCCATCCTCTCCCAACTGATGATACAGGCAGGCTCTTCTTCAGGCCCCCACCCTGCTGTCCTCACGCTGCAGTAGAGGTGCCTGTTCTCTAGCAGGCGCACTCCACGGGGGTGGGGGGGACGCCTATGGCATGGGAAAAGAACCTCTCCCCGATGCAGTGGCTAAAAAGTCTGGGTGAATCTTACAGAGATGATCAGGGTGCAGTTGGCATGAGCAAAGCTCAGCAGGGAAGCATCCAGAGGCAGCTGGTATCTGTCTAGGTCAGGAATGGAGAACTTCTTATAGTACCTGTCGGGACAGAAAGAGGCCATGAACACCCAGCAAGGTGACCCCAACAGTTGGGCAGCAGGCCTCTCTGCTGCCAATCCCCTATACCTGCCACACAGCCAAAGAGGAAAAAGGCAAGCCTGTCAGAAGGCCAGGACTTCAGAGCTTAGTGACCCTGGAATGAACAGGGTGAAAGGCCTTGTGGCCTGTCTAGCAGTAGGAGAGTGGGGCCAGTCAGCACAGACCAGTGGTTGGTTAGTGGCTCATCTTTCAGGCTCGGGACCCCTAAACACATGCAGAGAAACCTCTTAGAATATACAGGCAAACTAGGCCTTCTTTGTACCCCAGAAAAATGGAAAATAAATGGAAAATGGAAAAAATGTGCCAATAAGGGACGGGATAGAGCATCTAGGGCCGGCTCCCAAAGGCGGGGAGCTGCAGTTGCCTTTTGCATGGGACTTCCACTGCGCCTCGGCTACCTCTTCCCCTTTGGCTTTCAAGGCCGTGTTAGCCTGACTCCCTGCAGACCACAGAGGAAAGGACATCCTCAAGGAGGGATCTCAAGAGGACAGAGCATGTGATTCACCTCAGAAGCTGGACCTCTGGGGCTCTAGACTACATTGCTGGCCTTGAGACCCCAATCCTCGGTGCCACACACACAGGGCCCCTATCATCTGCAGGTGCCAGCTCAGAGATGAACGATCCCTTTTAGTAAAGCAAACCAAACCAAACAAATAAAAGCTAAAAAAAAAAAGAAAAGAAAGAAACCCCAGATAGCAGGGCGCAGCTCATGATGTGTGTAACTGGACTTTGTTTTGCAAGGAAACCTGACCCCCATTACCAAAGAGGAAACCCAGGCTCAGAGGTGAACGGGATTAAAGCAAGCGCCTTGCTCCTGGTCCGGGGCTGGCTGTACCAGGGCACAAAGAATGGCCGCCTCATCTCACGCCGAGTCCACCGGACATTTTCCTGGCCGGAAATGGGGTCTCTTTGGCTGGTACTGCCAGACCTGTCCCCCAGAGCTCACTCACGTGCGGGCTGGGGCAGGAAACCCCGCAAGCAGCTGGAGAAGCCGGCGCTCTTCATACTTCAGAGGGTCTGGCTCTTGTGGGGACAGCTCCCCCCAGTCCACCTCAAAGGCCTGATGCCCTGGGGGCTGAGAGTTGCCATCAACGTGGCACGTCTGCCCCTCTCTCCCTGCCCAAATCCTCAGTTTTGAGGCGGGCGCTCCTGGCTCCCCTCCAGGTTCCCCACTCCCCGCCAAGCCAAGGTGCTGGGGCTCAGGGCAGGAAAAGAATGTTTACTTAAAGGAGACAGTTCAAAAGGCGTGGGGGTGGGGGGTCCTAATGGCACCACAAGTTTGCTTTATTTTCCAAAGCTCTGCCCCAGGGAAAGGCGATCCATCTGCCTGCAGAGCGGGTGGAATGCCCGCATCCTCTTCCCAGCCAGGCTAAGGGCGCTTCCTGGGGCCCTCGGTCTGGCCAGTAAAGGTGGCAGACACTGATAATAGGAGGAAGTCAAAGGTTAAACAGCAGAGATTAGCAGAACACAAAGGCTTGTTAGGAAGTGTTAACATCTTCCCTGCGAATAGACACGAGCAGCAGAACGAGGAGTGAGGAGCGAAGCAGCCCCAGCACAGGCAGCCCAACCAGACCGGCAAATCAGGGGGCCTGTTTAAGGCCTGGCCATGTAGAGCCTGGGCCATCCTCTCTGCCTACCTAGCTCCTGGGCTTGGGGGCCTGGGGAGCTGACACACACCTGTATGCACTCAGAGGGGCACTATCAAGCCACATTCTCCAGGTTGGGGCAGTGACCCTGGAAAAAGAATCCCAGGGCTTGGTCTCCACAGCAATGACAAGATCAAAAGGAATTTGAGGTGCATGGCTTGACACCCCCCCATTCCCTGTCCTAGTCCCACCACCTTTCATGAGCCAAGCAGAATGGGACAGAGCGGGTCTAGAAGTTCAGCTTTGTTTCGAGTCTCTTCTAGTGGATTTCATTTACTGGTTCAGGTTCAACAACTCTCAGGGGTTCCTACAGGCAGGGTTCCAGGGAGCACGGAGCACCTGCTTCCTCCCTGAGGGAGCAGCCCACCCCCACTCACCTCTTTCCTTGTCCTGGAGTTTGCTCTGAAAGGAACTGTTAGGGGGAAAGGATGTCCTACACACCTGATTTTCTCACCAGAGACAGAGGCCCACCGTGCTCAAGTGTGCCCACACTCAAGCAGCCGTGCGTCACATCAGCTCTGTCCCAGACCCTGAGCTCTGAGCTGGGCACTTGAAGAAGAGACAAGACTGCATCCCTGCCTTGCTGTCAGGAGACTCCCTGTGTTGCCACTAAAAGCGAAGCCTCACAGCGGGTGGTCCCCAGGCTTCCTGCAGGACACAGTCCCAGTTCCCCAGCCCAGCCGCAGTCAAGCTGCTTCGACTGCTTCGGGGCCAGGCACTGTTCCGAACACTTTGAGACCCCAAACAACCCTCTCGGGCTGGGGACGCCTCTTCTCTTCTATAGAAGAGGAAACTGAGGCCCAAAAAGTATCTTGCCCAAGTCACAGAACAGGTCAATGGAGAAGACGTAATTCTAAGTGATAATCCCCCAACTCTCCTGAGCCCGCCACCTCTCCACCTGCATCTGACCAAGAATGGGGCCGATAGAGTGGGGTGGACTCCCTCCGTCCTGCACTTTACCCTGAGCAGGTTCACTTAAGTTCTTTCCTCAAAGGAACTGCCCTAGAGAAACTCTGGCTGTGAAAGGGACTGGCCGCCTCTGCACCGCTCTTCAACCTGCGCCAAAGGCCAGCTCCTTTATTTTGGCTATTTTGGAAGTGACCTATTGTACCCCATCACTCTACAGTACCCCCTTCCCAATTCACAGTTCTTTCCCATCCCATTCTCCCTTGCAGTGAAGTGACAAAGGACACAGGTGGCCTGGTCTTCAGAGAGACTGGCGGAGGGGGTAAAAGCAGCAGCGCTACGGTGATCACAAGGGCCAAGCCCCGCACACCTCCAGGGGTGCCCTGTGTGCCTGTGCACAGGCTCCCCAGAGTGCTCCAGAAAAGCCTGCCAGTTTCACCCTCAGAAAATCACTAGGCAAATCTTTCTTAACCATCAAGGCTTAAGGCCCACTGGTCACCCTGCTGCTGCCTTTTTTTTTTGAAGATTTATTTATTTATTTATCCAAGCACTGGGTACAGTCAGAAGCGCGGGAGGGTGAGAGAATTCACCAGAGCCAGAGCGGGGAGCAGAGCAGACAGAAGGACCGAAGCACACTGCTGAGGGGAGCAGCGGGCGGCAGGAGAGGTCTGCGCGCCATGTGGGACCCTTGCCGGCGGCCAGGGATCGAACCGGCGCTGCAGAGGCTGCGGGCAGCTTCACAGCCCAGCGCTCAACCACTGCGCCACCAGGGGAGGCCCTGGTCACCCCTGCTCCTGCAGCCCCACCTAGAGTCATGAGGCGCATTCGCAGACTGAAGGCTCAGAAGTTAATTCCGAGATTCCTAAACTCAGTGACCACAGAATCCCTTTTTCTGGGGGTGCCTGATGACACCTCCCAGTGTTGGTATCACCAATGCCAAATCAACTGTGTCTTCTTCAAGTTCCAATTTCCAAAGAATTATTGAGGAGCTGCTTCATCCAATGCTGTATAGTTTCATCAAATCCTCTAATTTGTGAGGCGGGTAGAAGCATTCCTCTCCTGGACGAGGGAACTTTGCCCAAATACCACAGGTAATATGCGGCAGAGGCCAGATGGAAGCTGATGGCTCACCCAGCACCCTGGCCCATCCCGCTGCCAGCTTCTAGGCCGAGGCTAACAACCTTCTTCCTGCACACACACTCTTACCAGGAATGAATGGCACCACACCAGGGTCTTGGAAAAGTGCTTTCTTCCCCCAAGAGTCATCCCTCTCCAGTGCCTGAGGTCACAGCACACCAGCGACAATTCCCTCAAGAAAAGTGGCCACCTCAGCCCTTCTTGCAGGGATGGGTAAAGGAACTCCGACTTTTGTTAGGAGACACACTGCACAACACTAGAACTGGGGCAGGCACGGAACTTGAAGTCACGTCAGAGGGAGACGCGACGTGGGAGACAGAGCAGGTGCCCGGGCCTGGGGAGCACCACCGCCCCTTCGGCGCGCCAGTGTTGCTAGGTCCTGCACAAGCCTGGGCCCCGCGGCCCCTCGGATGGGGTGATAATCAGAAAACGGATAGTAAAAGTCTCTCGGTTCGGCTCGAGGCAGGGCAGGTACAGAACCCGGTGCGTCTCCGGGCGGGGGCCAGGGCCTGGGCTCGGGAAAGAGTCGGTCAAGGACAGAGCCGCGCCTCTGACCGACCGCCCAGTGCGGGGACCGAGGAGAGCGGGGCTGAGCCAGACTGGCCCGCGGGGCTCCAAGGGCGGCACGGACGCGCTCCTCTCCCTCCGCGGAACTGAAGCCCGGGCCTGCCGCCCCAGAGCACCACTCCCGCCCCGCCGCAACTTGCCCGCAGTTCAAAAAGGTCTCGGGGCGCCGTGCGGGCGTCTGGCCGCGAGCTCCAGGCCAACAGCGCCCCCTATGGCCGCCTGCGGGCCGGGGATGGGGCCCAGAGGCTCTGCCCGCAGATGAATTTTTTGGTGAGCTAGCTAGCCGCTCTCCGCTCCCCGGTAATCACATTTCTGCCTGATGTCTGTATTCGACAGTGACCTCTGGGGGACAAAAGGGAGGCAGCAGCCAGCTCCACAAACTGCTGGGCTGCAGATTCAAGTGCTATCAGAAGCACTTTTGTTCCCAGTTTGGACCCAGGGCCGCCTCCGCCAGGGAATGCTTGCTGAAGCATGGAGTTTGTTTTCCTAACGGCAATTTCTCTGTTGTCTGAAATTGCTAAATTCCACTTTAGGCACTGACTCCTGTTAATGATGAGAACAATAACGGGAATAAACTGCCTTTTATCTGAGGGCTTCAAAGTGCTTTATAAACGCAAACCCTTATTATTATGACTTTATATTTATAGACATGGCCCACTGCAGGGGCTGCTGGCTGCATGTACAGCAATAATCCTAAAATTAATTCATTCATCTCCAGTCTTCCCCGTCCCCTTAACCCTGACAAAGTGATTGGATGTGGGGGTCACAAGAGGAAGGTGGGACTCAGGGCTGCACAGGGGGATCCTGGGAGCCACACTGGATCCCTGTGGGCCTCATGGACCTGAGGGAAGTAGAAGGGGAGGCTGGGCCACAACATTTGAGAAGATGGACAAAGAGCTGGGTCCTCTCACCACGTGGAAACCAGAGGGTGAGTGGGGCCCCGCTGGGCCAAGCTGACTGCTCTGTGAGGCACGCTGGGTGGCTCCACAGCTTGTGGACCAGTCACTCATTGTCGTGAACAACACAAGCTGGTACCATACAACATTTCTCTAGGTCAAGTTTGATGTATTACAGGCTTTTCTCTTCACCTGTGGTCAGCCTGCGCTCCAGAAGTCCAAATGGGATCAAGGTATTTCCAAGATCGCCAGCCCAGAAACATCCCTGCCTGGATCAAATCTCCACCCTGGACACTTCTGTCCTCTCAACCCCACATTTTGCCTGTCCCCTAGCAAACCACAAGGAGAGGAGCAAAGGAAAGTTGAGTTCCCCTTTTGAAACATAATGCAAAAGACTTCTAGGAGGCCAAAGCAGTTACCCACTCTCCCTCAGTCCAGGGAGGGATCAGGGTTGCTGCTCCCTGGTGCTGTTTTAAGTCCTGTAACTGCCACCTCAGAGGCGGGCCTCCCCAGTCATGGCTCCCTGCTAACTCTGAGCTGTCACCGGGTCAAGTGTGCTGTGGACTGGATCTAGCGGGTACTTTAAGGCCACAATAACCTTACAGTAGAACTACATAAGATCACAAGCTAATTGCCAGGTGATTCCCTCACTCATCTCCTCATTCATCCAGCAAAAATAAATCAAGTCCCAGTAATGCCAGGCACTACACCAGACACTCATTGTTCCAACTCCCCTGCGCTGATTATGTTATTCATACCGGTCCCAAGAGGAAGCCTCTCTGCCCTCTGGGGTAGGGAGCAGTCTGAGCCTTAACCCTGGGTCCAACCCCACTCCCCACCTTGCCCCACACAGGCAGGCAGTGCCCACCACACTACTTACTTTTTGTTGGTGGTTCTGACAACAACACAGCGCTCTGTCTGGTCCACACAGACACTATAGACATCCTTAGGGTAGGGGAGATTTCGAATCCGCCACTGGAAACTCATTTTGGTATCCTTCCGCATGAAGATGGGCTAGAAACAACAAATCCAACTCTGTTCTTGGAGGGAGGGGCGGGTAGGGTGGCATGACCTCCCATTCTGCAAAGCTTTACCTAGGGGCAGAGTGGAAGACCCTCAGCTCTTCTCCACAACACCCCTCTGATGATGCTATGGCCGGGACACTCCAGATCTGTCACCCTCACCCTGGGATGGCCAAACCCCCGGGTATGACTCAAGCAAACATTTATATAGCATGTGTGCAGGTGGGGACACTAGAGATGAGAAGTAAACATAGTCGCTGTCCTCAAAGGTCAGTCCAATCCCACCCGACGCCCGCCCCTGACCTGGCCCGAGACACATACATTGGCATTGCTCTCCTTGATGAGTTCAGGCCCCAGGCTCCCTGCTCCTGGGGGTGCTGGCTCTCCCACCTCAATCTGCCACTGGCCCAAGGCTCCAAGGGCACTTTTCAAACGCCACTTTCTCACTGGGGAGAGAAGGAAGCAATGGAGTTATGGGAAAAAGAGGAGCTCTGCTCTTTTCTGATGAATTGTCAACTTCACATCAGGCAAGAACAGAATAAAGGAAGATGAGGTTAGTAAAAGGGCAGTTACTTGTAAGGGAGAAAATCTGGATCCCAAAAGTGTGAGTTGACTGAACACTTTTTCCTTCTAAAGCTGACAGGTAGATTTATCTCGTGATTCATAAAGTCTATATACAGAAATTCACTCATCGCAGGTATACCTGGCTTAAAACAACAGCCCCCAAATGTATTTAAATAAAAATTTAGACACATGCATTTTAAATGCAATATTTATAGAAAAGCTAATGTGATTTTTTTCCCAAGTGGGACCATCCTTTTATAATGCAAATAACTATCTGCATTTTACCTTGCTTTACAACTCAAATATCTGCATAAGACTTTTTTTAAGTAAGGCACATACATTATGAAAATTATTAAGTGAAAAAACTAGTGCAGGACATTACCTAAACCCCCTGCTGGGATTTTCAGGACCGCCTCAGCCCTGTGGAGGCAACCCTGTCCTGGTGCAGGTTATCACTGCAGGGGCTTCCCCCCCCACCCCCAGCGGGGACCCGCCCCTCCCCTGCTCCTTCCCCTTCCCACTGCACTAGGGTGTCGCCAGCCTGGGGAAGCCAGGTGCAGCCTTCCTGCCGCTGGTGTAAGGAGTCACACAAAGGGCCTGGGGTCCTGCTGGAGCCCTTGCGTGCGCGCCATGTCTGCCCCGGTCAGGCGGCCGCAGTCCGCTTCTCACGCAGGCTTCTGTGAGACCTTGTGAGGAATCAGGCCCAAACACCCTCGCTGCTCCGAGTAAGGCATGCAAGCTGAACACAAAAGAGTGCTGTAAGATTAGAATTTTTCCTTGAATATGTGTTTTTTAAAGGTCTGCTGCATTCTGCAGTGTGGTTTTATTACGTCTTAGGGCCAAAATTCTCCCTAGAAACACATTTCCAAGTTTATAATGAAAATTAATAAGGAAGAGTAAAACTTGGAGATATGCTTTATAGGCAACTTTTTCCCCCACAAATACTTCTTCTCTCTTAAGTGAATGGACTGTGACTGGGAGTATGTCCAAGTCTATTCATGTAATACCTAGCTCAACTGGAAGCTGGCCTTCTGGGGGTCTCTGTCACAGTCACAAACGCAGAACTGACAAATGCCTCCAACCAGCAGCTCATTGTGACAAGCCCCAGCACCTCGTTCTCCACTGTAGCAAACATGGCTCCCAGTTTCTCACTCAGACTATGCATATAGTCTATGCATAAAGTATGTGTGCAGAATGCACAGGAAATTAATTTTTCCCAGGCACACTGATAACAGCACGAGGGCACAGCTCACAGGGAGGGCACCAGCTCACCAGGAAGCACATGGGGCCAGTCGGCAAGAAGGGCAGACAAGTGTCCCTCCACCCTGACAGGGCCACCAAGTAACAGCACAGCCATCACACATTCTGAGGTGGGGGATCCTTTAGAAAGCATCTACCCCAGTGCCTATCTTTTTAAAGTGAGAAATATATTTCTTCTCTGGTTGCTCTCCTTCAACCCTCGCCACTGTTCTCCAGGGGACAGAGAATGAAGAATTTCTGAGGTTCAGGGAAAGAAACTAACTTGCAACTAAAGCCACACTAAAATCCAGGTCTCAGGCCTCCCTGGTGGCACAGGGGTTAAAGTCAGTGCTATCAAGCTACCAAGCTATCACCAGCCACTGCAGCACTAATTCTACCCACATGGCACAGCAGACCTCTCCTGTCATGCCCGCTGCTCCCCTCAACAGTATATTTTAGTAGGTCCGCCTGTTATGCTCCCCACTCTCTCTCTGGTGAAGCCTCTTACCCCTGCACCTCTGGCCTACAACCCAGTTCTTGTATGCATAAATAAATAAATCTTGGGCCTCCCTGGTGGCACAAGGGGTAAAGCACCACACTATGAAGAAATCCACAGCCTCTGCAGCACGAGTTTGATCCCCGGCTAGCCAGGGAGCAGCCTACATGGCGCAGCAGACCTCTCCTGTCACGCCCGCTGCTCCTCTCAGCAGTGTATTTCAGTGGATCTGCCTGTTCTGTTCCCCACTCTCTCTCTGGTGAATCCTCTCACCCCCGCATCTCTGGCCTGTACCCCAGCTCTTGTATGCATAAATAAACAAATCTTTAAAATAAATAAATAAATATTTAAAAAAATAAAATTCAAGTCTAAATTTGAGTCATTAATAAAAGGTTAAATTATATTCAATAAACATTCAATAAGCATTGATATTTAGAAAAGTTTCCATTTTTTTGGTAAATAGCACTAACTCTTATATTTTAGCCTTTATTTAAAGAAGGGCTTTGATGATCTGAAAATGTCTTTTATGAGGAACACCTCACTATCAAGGCCAGGCCACTGCTGTAATCCCGGGCCTCATGCAACAGGTGTCCTCAAATCCAACACCAGTGTAGCCAGGAGAGGCGATTCTGACCCCGGGGCTTTCTGTCTACTCTCTTATTCCAAGGGATTTGGGTTTTGCAGAGAAATCTTCCCAAGGAGCATATTAAGGAGGAAGGTCAGCTACTGGTGTCCTTACTGCTGACCTTAACAGTTGCTTGGGTCACAGGAACTTGGCACCCTTGGCTGTCTCATCACCATTTTAAAACACCTTGGGAAATTAAATTCTTTGTTAAGGTGCAGGTGAAGGTCTCCCTACTCATTTCCTTATAAGATCCAATGTAAGATCGTGATGAAGTCCTGCTATTTCCCCCCCATGTATATGGGTGTGAGTGCACACATGCAAATACACACTCTGCCTTGTCTTTCTTGTTCTGTCTTTGTTCCAAACTCAAGGACAGTTCCTGCGGCAACAGAAGACCGTCTCCACCTGCTGTCACTCTGATTTGATTATATGTTAGCCCAAACTGGTGTGTGCGAGGCAGCTCCCTGGGACGCTGTCACAGCTTCACGGCTGAGCCAGGGCCAGGCCTTGGAAAGGAGGCTGTCAATGACCGCGTAAAGGGTCTGGTGGGGAATATATGAAGGAGGCTGTGCCTGGGGGCTTTTTCCTAAGTCAGCAGGAAGCAGGCTGATGTCCCAGACTGCTGAAAGGAGGCCCCATCTTTCAGGTGGGCTGGAAAGTGGAGGTCCTCAAGGCCTCTTTCCCCAAAGCTCCCAGCCCTGGCCCACTTCCAATGTGGATAATTACATTCCCCTCTCCTAAATACTCCCTGCAGCTTAAACTGGATGCAGGATTCTTCTTTTCTGCCCTAAAACACTGCAGCATTGCTATGTGGCTATTAAACAGCTGCCACGTCCCATCCCTGAGGAGGTTGAAGGGAATCGAGTGGGTCATTTATAAAGCTGGTGAAGTGCTTGGGGATGAAAGTGCTCAATATCCTCCAAATGCAGCCTGGGGTGGTTAGGCTGGCGGTCAAATACCAAAGCAGATTAAGCCTGTAATCCGAATGTAATCGCTAGGGGATGGCCTGCCCTTCAGCCTCTGCCCCCCTGGACATGCTGTGTTCTTCTGGGGCTGGTTTGATGTTCCGATCATTGTTATGGGGCCCTTCAGTTTTTTCCTCTATGAATACATACAGCATCATTGTGGGGGGTGGGAATGAACAGCATTGAGAGGGTAGAAAAAAAATATGACACTGCTACGCTTATTAACACTGACTGGAAGAGCTCTGCTCTACACAGATGCACTACTGGCGATTCTTCCCTGAATTACTTTCTGAGTTTTTCCAGCAGAAAGCCAATTTGGCCAATTCTCAAACTTGTATAATTAGCTGGAAAGTTGGAAACTATTTCCACTCACTCCCATAGTAACCCTGTCCATATTTTACTTCGTAGAATGCACAAGCAAAAGTCAGCTCGGGTCCTGGCATTATTTATACTTAAAAATCAGCAAAGAACAGTATTTTGCAAGGGCAGCTGGCGGGGGTGGGGTAGAGTGGTGGAGATGGGTAAGAAAAGCAGTTACTGCTCACAGCGCCCAGCGGCTCCAGTGGGTGTTCCTGTCTGGCCATCTCTGTCCTGCTCCCACTAGCTCCTACTCACGTCATTCTGGGCAGAGCAACTTTAGTAAGAAAAGAAAACAGGACTAAATATTCTCAACCCCCAGCAGGATGCCGCTGTAGACTAAATCATGGGCTCTAAATCACAAGACTTAGGCTGATGTCCCACCAGAGAAACTAACCAGCTATGTGATTCTGAGCAAGATGCTTAACCTCTTGGGGCTTCTGTTTTCAACTGTAAAATGGAGACTGTGTACCAAGTGCCTAGGGCTGTAACAAGGATGATTAAATGAGATGATTCTTGTAAATCACTTATATGCTGCGCAAGGAAAGTTATGGTACTGATATCATTATTAGGTAAACTTTATCCAAACAGTATTCTCCTATGAACCTTCATTTCTGCTCTTAAAAAAAAAAAGGGCTTGGACATGTCATAACAACAACAACAAAAAATCATGATTGTATCAACAGATGCTGAAAAAGCATTCAACAAAGTTCAACAACCATTTACGAAGGCCCTCGCAATTCTCAGGATAGAAGGAACATACCTTAATATAATAAAGGCCCTATATGACAAACCCATAGCCAATGTCATTCTCAGTGGTGAAAGCTGAAAGCCTTACCCTTAGGATCTGGAACAGGATAAGGATGTCCACTCTCACCACTGCTTTTCAATATAATACTGGAAATCGTAGCCAGAACAATAAGATAAGAGAAAGACATACAAGGAATCCAAATAGGGAAAGAAGAAGTAAAACTATCACTATTTGCAGATGACAAGACAATATACATAGAGAATCCTAAAAACACTACAGAAAAGCTAATCAAAATAATTAACCAGTTTAGTAAAGTAGCAGGATACAAAATCAACACACGGAAATCAGTATCCATCCTATATGCACACAATCAATAGAAGAAGAAATCAAGAAAACCATCCCTTTTATAATGGAAACCAAAAAAACAAAAACAAACAAACAAACAAAAAAAAACAAAAAACAACCAAGTACCTGGGAATAAACCTAGCAAAAGAGGTGAAGGACCTATACAAAGAAAATTATAAAACTCTGTTAAAAGAAATAGAAGACACAAAGAAATGGAAAGACATGCCCTGCTCATGGATTGGAAGAATTAACATTATCAAAATGGCCATCCTACTGAAAGCAATTTACAGATTTAACGCTATTCCAATAAAAATTTCAATAACATTCTTCAAAGAGATAGAACAAATATTGATAAAATTCATATGGAACCACAAAAAATTTTGAATAGCCAAAGACCTCCTGACCAAAAAGAAGGAGAATGGAGGTATCACATGCTTCAAACTATATTATAAAGCCATAATAATTAAAACTGTATGGTACTGGAACAAAAACAGACACACAGACCAATGGAATCGAATAGAAAACCCAGAAATAAACCCAAAGATTTATGATAACTAATCTTTGACAAAGTTGCAAAGAATATGCAATGGAACAAGGACAGTTTGTTCAATAAATGGTGCTGGGAGGGCCTCCCCGGTGGCGCAGCGGTTGAGCGCTGGGTTGCGAAGCTGCCCGCAGCCTCTGCGGCACCGGTTCGATCCCCAGCTGCTCCTCGGCCACCGGAGGAGGGTCCCACATGGTGCGCAGACCTCTCCTGCCGCCCGCTGCTCCCCTCAGCAGTGTAGTTCGGTCCTTCTGCCTGCTCTGCTTCCCGCTCTGGCTCTGGTGAATTCTCTCACCCTCCCGCGCTTCTGACTGTACCCAGTACATGTATAAACAAACAAACAAAACAAATAAATAAATAAAAAACATGCCTCTATTAAAAAAAAAAAAAAATGGTGCTGGGAAAACTGAACTGTGATATGCAAAAAAAATGAAGCTAGACACCATGCACAAAAACCAACTCAAACTGGATAAAAGGCTTAGACATAAGACCTGAAAGTGTAAAATATATAGAAGAAAATATAGGCAAAACACTACATGACATACACCTCAGTAACATCTTTAAAGATACTTCCCCCAAAGTAAAGAAAGTGAAAGAAAAGATGAACATATAGGACTACATCAATAAAGAGTTGATGAGACTCAACAAAAACAAAGTAAACAATCCAGTCAAAAAATGGGCAGAAGAGCTAAAAAGACACTTCTCCAAATAGGAAATGCAAATGGCCAACAGGTATATGAAAAATGTTCCACATCACTTGTAATCAGGGAAATGCAAATCAAAACTACAATGAGACACCACCTCAAACCAGCAAAAATGGCACACATTAAAAAAACAGGAAACAAGTGTTGGAGAGGATGTGGAGAAAAAGGAACTCTACTACACTGCTGTTGGGAATGCAAACTGGTCCAACCACTATGGAAAGCTGTGTGGAGGTTCCTCAAACTACTAAAAATGGAGCTTCCATATGACCCAGCAATTCCACTCCTAGGAATCTACCCAAAGGACACAAAAACATTAATTCAAAAGGATGCCTGCACCCCTATGTCATTGCAGCACTATTTACAATAGGTAAGCTATGGAAACAACCCAAATGCCCCAAAATAGATGATTGGATCAAGAAGAGGTGGTACATATACACAGCAGAATACTATTCAGCAATCAAAAAAGATAAACTCATGCTATTCACAGCAACATGGATGGAAATGAAAGGGATTATGCTCAGTGAAATAAGCCAGAGGAAAAAGAAAATTATTAGATGGTTTCAGTTATAGGAGGAATATAGAGGAAATAAGGGACCAGGGGAAAAAAAATTATAATAAAGTAAAAAACAAAAGGAGGGCCCTGCCTGGTGGCGCAGGGGTTAAAGTCTCAGCCTACAAGCTATTACCAACCACTGTGGCCGTGAGTTCAATCCCTGGCCAGGGAGCTAAGACACATGGCACAGCAGACCTCTCGCTGCTCCCCTCAGCAGTGTATTTCAGTAGATCCACCTGTTCTGCTCCCCACTCTGTCTCTGGTGAATCTTCTCACCCCCTGCACCTCTATCCTACACCCCAGTTCTTGGATGCATAAATAAATAAAATAAATTTTTTTTAAAAAAACAAATTAACAGGCAACTATTAATATCAGAGACACTCTGCAGGGGAGGGGGTAAGGATGGGATCAAACTGGGAGGAAATGTGTTCTTACACATGGGACTATGGTGATGGTGCACGCGTGAATTGGTGGTGGGAATTTTACGGGGCTACACCTGAGAGGAGAAAGCATGCATTGTACAAAAAGGAAGAATGATGTAAAATATATATAAAATAAAATTAAATTTTAAAAAAGCGCTTGGAGGCCACTGTCTGTTCCCACCTGCCAAGAGGGAAAGTTGCCGCTTAATGTGGGGTACTACAAATGAAGGAAGCTGGACTTGTTTTTCATTTTAATTTCATGTCCAAGCACAACTAAGAGGCCTGGGTTTCATTTGTTTGTTTGTTTTCACAGCCACAGCTGCTATGGCTGTTTTATTTGCTCTGTGTGCAGGAGGGAGGTGATACTGGGGCTGGAGGAGAGGAGCTGCAGCGAGTCTGTGGCCTGGTGATGGGTGGTAAGCTCACGTGACCTCTGTTTTTATAAGCTTGCCCTGTTAGGCATTCCAAGGCTGTCACCCCCTGGGAGCTCTATAAATTACAAGGCATTGTGAGGATATTACTACTGTATTGGTTTCCACCAAATCAGTGTCATATGCTAAACACATCAAGATTTTTAATAGCACCAGACTAAGCCAATTGGGACTGGAGTCCAAGCAGCTCATAATAAGGAGGGATCAACACTTCACTCTGTAACTGAACATGCGCAGGACACACGTTTTAAGACTGGAGACTAAGAGAATGCAAACCAGTGTAATCCATGTTGTCGGTTCTAGACATTTATGAGCTGTCAGAAAAGGGGGAAAAAAAATTCCCTTGCCAATACTACCTGTCGATCAGGCCCAGGAAGAAATTAAAGTCAAGAATAATGACAAGAAAATAACCCAGCCCATGACTCCATCATTGGTCTTAGCATTTCAGTTGGAACTTAATAAAAAGACCAACTCCCACTGCTGACAGCCTTAGGCCCTGGGTCAAAGAACCAGCCACCTAGCTCTGGGAAGTCGGTTAATGCTGATGTGCATACCTGGAAACAGAGAACGGACAAATCAAATAACCCCCAGAAACCTGAGCTGGAGCAACTACTCACAAGCCTATTCTGAGAGGAAAAGAGCCGCAGGAATGAAAATGACAAAGCTGCAAAACCACCACTTCTCCCCCCTTCTCTCCTGGAATCCTTCATTCTCCAAGGTGAGGGTCGTATTTAATAGTCTGCTCTGACACTGCTTGATCCCGGTGAGGCTTCAGAAAACAAAAGACAAGCAAAACAAATAGAAGGGAAAGCCTGACCTTAGCACTGCTCGGCCTGCAAGGGCCATTTTCAGTTCCACCTGCTCTCTGAAGGTTTTTCCCAAAGGTTCCTCTGCTGCCCATTTCCACCTCAGAAGTGCTCGCTCCCATAGCCTGGGGGCGGGGGGTGCTTTATGGGTCAAGTGGACTTCCGCTCCACTTCTGATGTCCAGTCCTGGGTTCAGATTATTCTCAGGAACATCTTGGTTCATCTGAGGGCATCTGTTTCCCCTAGTTTCAGCATCTGGTACTGGGGTCCTCCCTCAGGCCTCAGTTAGGAGTGTTCACCTGTGCCTAGGTCACCGCAAGTGTACCTATGGGCTGACTGGGAACCCCCATCACTTACCAAGTAGTTCACCTGTCTTCTCATCATATTCTTCGGCCATTTCCTTCCCATCTGGGAACAAGTAGTGCACCTTCCTTCTCCCTGCGCACAAAGCAGAGTACCTTCCTCAAAACCTCCTCTTGCCTTCCACTCTACAGATCAAGGGATCTAGAAGGGAAATTCCAAAAGCCTTGGGCACACTGAGAATCCCTCCCAAGGTCTCCCACAACTCCTCGCCAACCTTGCCTACCATTACTTTAAGACATGTCTGGGACTCCCTTCTGTAGCTTGCTCTGAACTTGTCTTCGCTCTGCTGTTTCCTATACCAGTGAGAGCTCTAGACTTCATCCCATCTGTTGAGCGCCTCCTTTCCCCCTTTAAAATCTAGCTCAAATGCCACTTCCACTGGGAAGTCTTCCTTAGCTATCACACCCAGCCATCTTGGCAGAATTCATCCCCTCGTTGCTTGTGCCTTCTTACTGCTCTATTCATATCCACAGGGGAACACTGATTGGTGTGCTACTTTTTAAGGCCTCTGTCTCCCCAGGATTGGTATCATATTGATCTTTTCCTTCCTATTTCCTAAAGCCAAAGCTCTGTGCTCAGGACATTGAACTGGATTTTCTGACCATGCCCTCTCTTTAGCCACACTGTTGCTCTGCCCTCTTTGGCACATCTCTGTGACATCTCTAGCCACAGCGACAGTGTTAGTGTCCAGGGGTTTTCTTCATGGCATTTACCTTGGTTTTGAATTTTTCTCTATTTGCACTACCTGTCTTTTCTACTAGATAGAAGGGGTTTTAGCCCTCCTAACACCAAGCATAGTACCTGGCATCTATTAGGAGCTGATCATTACCGATTGAAAGAAAGAATGAACACTGATTCATCTTTCATTGAAAGAAGGGGGGCCTCCCCGGTGGCGCAGTGGTTGAGCGCTGGGTTGCGAAGCTGCCGGCGACCTCTGCGGCGCCGGTTCAATCCCCGGCTGCTCCCTGGCCACCTGAGGAGGGTCCCACATGGCGTGCAGACCTCTCCTGCCGCCCGCTGCTCCCCTCAGCAGTGTGCTTCGGTCTTTCTGCCTGCTCTGCTCCCCGCTCTGGCTCTGGTGAATTCTCTCACCCTCCCGCGCTTCTGACTGTACCCAGTGCATGTATAAACAAAAAACAAACAAATAAATAAAACATGCCTCTATTAAAATAAATAAATAAATAAATAAATACATACATAAAAAGAAAGAAGGGAAGGACTAAGGGAGTCTCTAGCCTGAAACTTCCAACTAGGTAGTATAAGCCTTTTCTTAAAAGTGACTATGTAATTCCCCCTACATTCCCCTACTTAGTTACAGGGAGGCTCTTCACTGAAACTAATACTCAACAGACAGGTACCCAACACATGCTTGACAAATAGAGCCCCAACGCCGCTAATGAGCTAAAGGTGCCACTAGCTAAAACAGGCAACTGTATCTGACCTACCAGTACTTTTCCCATCCAAAACACTCCTCTGGGACACAGTTCCCTTGAGTCATTCCTATTTGGTATTCAGGAGAAGTTCACCACATAATTTGCAGGGCCTCTCCCCTAGGTCACACTATTCTTAGTCCTTTGGATGGTAGATAGATTTGAAAGGGGTTTTCCTGCCAGGAGTGGGGTACCTACATAGAGCTGAGACTGTCTGGCCTGACCTTCTTTGCCCCCTGGAGTTGTCTTGAGTCCAGGCAGGATGCAATGCTTACAAGTGGTCAGTATTTAATATATTTTATTGCATTTAATTCTCACAATAATCCTATGTGCCCCCATTATAAGTGAGAAAAACTGAGGCTTAAAAGTCACACAACTTGTCCAAGGTCATAAAGTTAGGAAATGACAGATGCAGGCTTAAACTCATTTAAGGGCAAAGTCCATGCTCTCATAACCATACTAGGATAATATCCATGGCTCTTAATATTCTAGTAAGGTTGAACACTGTCCTAAGGGCTCATTGGTCATATTCTAGTGAATTACCTGTTTAGGCCTTAGCCTATTTTATTTGGGTAGTCATCTTGTTTTATTAATTTGACTGGACTTTGTATACATTAACCATATATGGGGAAAATATTTTGTTTCAGTTGCCTTTTATTTAAAGATACATAGTATGTATCTATATATTAAAGTTAAGAATTAAAGGTGTCCTGGGTTCTTATTACCAATAGCACATACACATACACACCAGGAGGGTAAATCTACAGGAGAGATTTAATAAGATATATCTATATATTTAATATTTTGAGGGGGCTGGAGGGAAAAAAACCCAACTAATAACATTGGTTTGTGATGCAGATGATGGAGGAACTTAAAATCCTGGCTGATGAAATAACTGTTTAAACACTGGCCCGTGACCAAAGCAGGGTCTTAAACAGATACTTGTACACCCATGTTCATAGCAGTATTAGTCACAATAGCTAAAAAGCAACCCATGTGTCCATTGACAGACGAATGGATAAACAAAATGTGGTACCGATATACAATGAAATGTTATTTGGCCTTAAAAAGGAAGGAAGAGCGTCCCTGGTGGCATAAGGGGTTAAGCACAACACTATGAAGCTATCCACAGCTTCTGTAGCATGAGTTCAATCCCTAGCAGGCCAGGGAGGTGACCCACATGGCGCACCAGACCTCTCCTGACTCGCCCGCTGCTCCCCTCAGCAGTGTATTTCAGTTAGTCTGCCTGTTCTGTTCCCCACCCTGTCTATGGTGAATCCTCTCATCCCCCACACCTCTGGCCTGTACTTCAGTTCTTGTATGCATAAATAAATAAATCTTTTTTTTAAAGATTTATTTATTTATTTATACAAGCACTGGGTACAGTCAGAAGCGCGGGAGGGTGAGAGAATTCACCAGAGCCAGAGCGGGGAGCAGAGCAGGCAGAAGGACCGAAGTACACTGCTGAGGGGAGCAGTGGGCGGCAGGAGAGGTCTGCGCGCCATGTGGGACCCTCCTCCGGTGGCCAGGGAGCAGCCAGGGATCAAACCAGCGCTGCAGAGGCTGCGGGTAGCTTCGCAACCCAGCGCTCAACCGCTGCGCTACCAGGGAGGCCCAAATAAATCTTTTTCTTTAAAATAGGAAGGAAATGTCTTGAAGACATTATACGAAGTGAAATAAGCCAGTCACAAAAGTATACAGCTATTGTATGACTCCACTTATATAAAGTTCCTACAGTAACTAAATTCATACAGAAAGAAAGTAGAACAGTGGTTGCCAGGAGCTGGGAGTAGGAGGAATGTAGTTAGTGTTTAATGGGTACAGAGCTCCAGCTGAAGAAAATGAAAAGGTTCTGGAGAAGGCAGTTGATGATGATTGCATTGCAACGTGAAAGTACTTAATGCCACTAAACCAAATAGTTAAAATGGTAAACTGTGTGTTATTTTTAATAACAGAAACAAAAAACAAAACTTACTGTGATGATCACTTTACAAAGTACATACATGCTGTACACTTGAAACTAAAATAATGTATGTCAATTATACTTCAATAGAAAACAAAACCAAACAAACAAAAAACAGTCCGGTGAGAACATGTCCCAAATCTTTAGCTTGGCAAAAGCAATGTATTACAACATACCCCAATTTATCTGCAATCCTGCCTCATTTTCCATCATTTCCCCTTATTGCTCCATGAGAACTTTCATTCACCCTTGCAGTCTTGCACCTGACAGTGTGGAGGGATGTTTCGAATGGGTGAATGCTTCAACTTCAGTAACCGGTTATTTCCCAGGTAATCAGACATGTGCTTTCATACCGCCTGGCCTGTACACGTGGACATTCTTTCTGGGCTAATTATCCCCATTTCTCCACTCAGCAAGCACCTATTAAATCTTTAGGACCCATCAACTCGACCTTTTCTGTCAGGTCTCTCTTCAAGGAGATGTTCATTTCCATCTTCATTCTCACAGCATTTTACAGAAGATTTTGACTTCTGATTAATCTACTATCGTTTATTTACTTGTCTTTCCTGACCACTTGGTGAACTCCTGGGACAATATGTCTTTCCTTCTATCTGCTCTAGTACAGTTTAGCACATGGCTAAAGCGTCCCTAAAAGCTGCAAGAATGAATGAGCAAAATTATTTTCGTTTTAATTTCCACACATCCGTGAGTGTGGATGTGAGTGCCTACCTGGTATCTTGAGAGCTACAGGAATTCATACCTAATTCATTCAGGCTACCAAGTGGGCCCAGGAAGAGGCCCTGAAAAACCAGGGCCCTACACCTGCCATTCTTAGGAGAAAAAAATCCCACTCCATACTCGTGTGCCCAACTCTTCCCAGCACACCCGGAGACCCTGCTCTGTCTCCCCTAAAGACCCAGGAAACATTTAGAGATTCGCTTACAAACATGAGAGCTGGAAAGGACCTCAAGATATCAAAGGTTGCCACCCCACCCACCTCGTTTTACAGATGAGGAAAGTGAGGTCCAAATAAGTAGAGGGGACAACCAGAGAGCCCCCGGTGACAGGGTGGTAACTAGAGCCCAGGTCTCCCCATCTCTCCATGGCACCAGGCTGTCTTCAGCAGAAGCCCAGGCTGAGGTTTATGGGGTCCCAGGTCACGATCCAGTTGTACCACTGACTGCCCAGGGCAGTTGGGACTGGCTAACACCTTCTCGCGTTTCCTTTTCTGTAAAACGGGGTGGAAGAGTAAAAGCCTCTTGGGACAGCGGTGTGGAGCAAAAACATAATGAAGATGAAAGGAAGTATTTATTAGTAACAACTCAGAGGTGCGAGTGGTGTAAAGGAAACTAGCGGGTGTTCGGAGACGCGTATTCGCGTCACGTCATCTCTCTGGGCCTCAGTTTCCTCATTTGCAAATACAGGCCCCGGCCGGGCTAGCGGCCACGACCTTTCCAGCTCTGCGGTCCCAGCTGTGAGGCGCCAACGCTGAGGGCCCGACTTGGGGTGGGGGGAGGGCGAGGGAGCTCGCGGGGCCTCGAGTTACCGTCCTGCAGGAGCGCCGTCTTCTCGGCCGCCCGCAGACTCTCCAGCCAGCCGGTCACCGCCATCTTCCCTCCGCCCAGCCGCGCGCCCGGCCGCTACCATGACAACCGTTCCGCCTGGGGCCACTTCCGGCTGACCCGGAAGGTGTCCTGGGCACTTGCTCTTTCCCACTCCCGGAGCCGTCGCGCTCGCCCTTCGTCCACGCTCATTGGCTGCCCCGGTAAGTTGTTACTCCTGCCCCCAATGGACCCGTCGGGTCTTGAGTGGCCCCGCCCGGACCGAATCCCGGGAGCCGGGTGGGGGCCTTAGGGCCGGGCCCGAGCACTGCAGCCCTCCTCTGGCCCCCAGTTGGGAGTCCATGGCACTCGCCAGCTGCGTCCGCGCCGGCTGCCGCACACCTGCCGGAGTCTTCTCCACCCCCAGCTGTGAGACCGAGGCGCCGTCAGTCCCAGAAGGCGCCCCACACCTGCGTTCGTGCCCCATTTCCCCGTGGCTGCGGGGCTGAGCCCTCCTCCCCGCCCCAGTCCAAGAGGCCCGTGACTGCGACAGGTGCAGGGCGTTTCCCCTGCCTCCCAAACACCTGCATCTACACCCCACGTTTTCCTCTGCGGTCTCTGATGGGGGTAGAGAGATTATGTAGGGTTTATGTGCAGCTATTCCACACCCCCAGTCTCCACTCCTGTTGAGAGCCAAGTCTATTCTAAAGATGCAGTTCTATATTCTAACTTGGTAATTCCCTCCTTTTGGTAAAGCCCTTTGGAAGTGAGATGCAGCAGGGTAGACGCTGCAGAGTCGCGCCCCTGAAGAATGATCTTACCTAGCCCTCAAAGGTTCTCCCAGTAGTCCCTGTCCACTCTGTTCCCCTTGAAAGGGCGTGAGTGTAGTACAAGGCTAAACCACTGAAATTCAGCTGGGTTTTGAGAGACCCCTGGCAACTAGTTACTGCCCCCAAAACCTGGTCAGTGGAGATTCCACTTCCATAGGCAAAGGGTTTGGGGGAACCTCAGATCTCATTATCCACATGACAACTGCCCGATCAACCCTCAGACAGGCCAGGATCCAGTCATAACTCAATGGACCTCAGAGGTGTCCTGAAGACATTTCCCAAGCGGAAGAAAACACGTGCCAATTCATCGCCTAAAGTATCTGCAAAGATTCCCAAAAGGGAAGAGGGAGAAGCAGCAGCAGGTGAGCAGACCTGCTCTCGGGTCCCCAGAGTTATGAGTTATTATATAGCCTAATTAACAAATAGGTGACAAAGGCTTAGATAGTAGGGCAGGGCAGGGGTTGGGGAGAGAGTTTAGTGACTGTGAGGCCTGTAATGGTCTTGTATACACCAGCTGTGTCTTGTGCCTGGTACACAGTCGGTGCTTATTAATATTTGTTTAAGGAATAAATGATCAAGTGAAGTGATACCTACAGTATGCCAGGCCCTGTTCTAGGGTATCGCAGGAAACTGTTAAAATCCTTGCTCCTGATATTCACTTGATGACCTATGAGGTAATTAGCAATATGCTTGCGGTGGGTCCCCAGAAGGCCAGCAGGTTGGATGGAAGGAAAATGATTGATTGGTGGTAGGGGACTATAAAGGGTTCATTCGGATCATATCTGAAAGTTACGACATTAGGCATCTGGATGTCCCCTCCACAGGGTGGCTGAGCTCCCTGCAGGCCCATGTTGTGCCCACTGGCATAGGGCGAGCCCGGGCAGAACTCTTTGAGAGACAGATTGTCCAGCATGGTGGCCAAATATGCTCTGCTGAGGCCCCAGGAATTACTCACATTGTGGTGGATGAAGGCATGGACTGTGAGCGAGCCCTCCGCCTCCTTAGACGGCCCCGGCTGCCCCCAGGTGCTCAGCTGGTCAAGTCGGCCTGGCTGAGCTTGTGCCTGCAGGAGAGAAGGCTGGTGGACACGGCAGGATTCAGCATCTTCATCCCTGACAGGTGGGCTGGTCCCAGTCTTTCCTCAAATGTTTTTTTTGGCAGCGTCTTGGACTCTTTTGGGCACATTGGAAAACCAAGATTTCAGAGTAGACAAGGACTGGGAGCAGAGACAGTTTGAGAGCTTTGGTATCTTAACCTCCCATCACTATCCCTGCAGGTACTTGGACCAGCCACAGCTCAGCAAAGCAGACCAAGTCTCTTCTCTTGGAGCCCAGGATGCTCTGGTCGGAACAGCCTGCTCTCCCCCAACTCTTCCTGCCAGACCTATATCTCCTCCCCAGAGGGCAGAAAAGACTTCAAGCACCCTAGTCCAGGTCAGGAGCCTCCCAGTCCCCACAACTCCCTTCCCTAGGAACTAGATCACAGAAACAGGGAGGGCCTGGTGGTGGTTCAGAGAGTCCCAGGCCTGAGAAAGGAAATGTCTCTTTATTGTGAAGCCATTTAGCTCTTCCCAACATTCATCATTCCTGCATTTGTCCAGGCCATATCTACCTTTTACCACTGGGGACCCTACGGCTGGCCACTGGGGATAAGGGTGAGGTGCCCTCCTCATAGAGGGCAGGAATTTATTTTCTTTTCTTCTTTCTTGCCTCAAGCCTGGCTCTGATGATGAAAACAGTGATGGGGAAGAGACCCAGGTTAATGCAGCTGATCTGGAAGCCCTGATCAGTGGCCACTACCCTACTCCCCCTGAGGGCGATGGTCAGCCTAGCCCAGCCCCTGAGGGCCTGAGTAAGTGGGTCTGTGCACAGCCTTCCAGTCAGAAAGCGACCAACCACAACTCCCACATCACAGAGAAGCTGGAAGTGCTGGCCAAAGCCTACAGTGTGCAGGGAGACAAGTGGCGGGCCCTGGGCTACGCCAAGGCCATCAATGCCCTCAAGAGCTTCCACAAGCCAGTCACCTCCTACCAGGTATCTGGGACTAGGGCAGGGTATATGGGGGCCTGGGGTTGGGGGAGTCTTCACTGACCAGAAGTTGATGGAGGTACCAGTCGCACGTGGGGATCAGGTGTGGTTTAGGTTTTATGATGTTTGGGATTTGTACAAAAGGAAAAAAAATGGAGAGACTGATGAAAGAAGATTGGCAAAACTTATAATCATTGAAGCTGGGTTTTGGGTACTTAGGTGTTCATTGTACTGTTCTCTCTACTTTTGAATTTTTTCCATAATAAAAAGTTTATACTCTTGAGGCCAGTAGACCAGGGTTTGAATTCTGATTCCCATCATTCACTCACTGTGTGACTTTAGGCAAGTTACCTAAATCCTTTGAGCCTTGGTTTTCTCATCACTGAAAAGGGACTAAGAATAGTAACAAAGTCATAGTGTTCCTGTGAGGACTAAATGAGATGATCCCTGCAGTGCAGGAGCTGATACCAGGAAGGCTTCAGTCAGTGGTAGCCGTGATGGTGGTGTGGTGACTAGTACCATCATTATTGCCTTTTCCCTCTTCCTGTGTTCATCTCCATCTCTTTGAGAACCAAAAGATGAGTTACCTAGCCCATGCCATTCAAACTTCTCATCTTCAGCTACGCCCAGGTTTTCACAGCCATCATTACCAACCAGCCAAGGGGCTTTTATTTGGACATCTGCTGAAGGGGAGCCAGCTTCCCCACTGCTGGCTCTACCTTCCCCATCTTCTGACTTTTCTGCCTCTGCCCCCTCCTCTAGGAGGCCTGCCATATCCCTGGAATTGGGAAGCGGATGGCAGAAAAGATTGAAGAGATCCTGGAGAGTGGGCACCTGCGGAAGCTAGACCACATCAGTGAGAGTGTGCCTGTCCTGGAGCTCTTCTCCAACATCTGGGGAGCCGGAACCAAGACTGCCCAGATGTGGTACCACCAGGTCACACCCTGTCCCAGCCTCCACTTTAGTTTTACTATGTCTAGAAGCTTCTGCTGCAGTTCTCTTACCTTGTACTCTGATGGGGGTGAATCCAGATTACAGGGAGACCACTTTTCAGGGGGCCAGGTAAACCCCTCTTCTGGCTCCCAGAACCATCCCCTTCTTTGGTTCCCTTGGGGCATTAATTTGTGGCACAGGCAGAGACAAGAAGTGTCTCTCTGTCCCCCAGACCAACAAGGGCCTTCCTGAGACAGCAGGCCTCAAGGCTAAGTATCCAGTGTTCCCAGACTGATGGAGTCATGAACCAGTATTTTAGGATTGTGGCAGAGCTGGTTAGGGTATGCTTTCCCCGACCCCTTCCTTTCCCAGGTCCCACTGTTTGTAGAATCAGTCATCCAAGGTTGGTCCTCAGACCTTCTTCGGAGTCTGAGCAATGGAAGACTTGTGTACTCATGTACTGTTTCATTAGTGGTCCTGGATCCTTACAGCCTCCCAAACTGGCTTCTTTTTTCCAGGGTTTCCGGACCTTAGAAGACATCCGCAACCACGCTTCCCTGACTACCCAACAGGCCATTGGTCTGAAGCATTACAATGACTTCCTGGAACGTATACCGAGGGAGGAGGCTACAGAGATCCAACAGACAGTAAGCAGAACAGTGAGGAGAGCCAGGCTCTGCTGTAACTTCCAGGCCTGGCTCGAAGTAAAGATACCTTAGTTGGGGAGTCCAGCAGGCAGAGGAAACTGTGGGTCACCAGGGGTTGGAACCAGTGGTGAAAGAGTAAGTTGAGTCTGAAGCTGTGAACCCAATGGAGGGATAGTGTTGGTAGGGTAGCAGGCTACAGTACCATCTCGCTGGGTTAGGGTTCTTAGTAGTCAGAGTTATCATTGGCTTAGATGCTAGAATGCCATTAGGATTGGGCTACTGTTAGGGCTAGATTAGACACTCAAAAACTACTTGAGGATATTGGGGTTTGAACTGGGCTAGGTTATGGTGGGCCAGCACAGAGGTTCTTTATGTTTGTTTGTTGTTGTTTCTTTTTTTTTTTTTTTTTTTTTAAAGATTTATTTATTTATTTACTTATGCAACCACTGGGTACAGTCAGAAGCGCGGGAGGGTTAGAGAATTCACCAGAGCCAGAGCAGGGAGCAGATCAGGCAGAAGGACCGAAGTACACTGCTGAGGGGAGCAGCGGGCGGCAGGAGAGGTCTGTGTGCCATGTGGGACCCTCCTCCGGTGGCCGGGGAGCAGCCGGGGATTGAACCGGCACTGCAGAGGCTGCGGGCAGCTTCTCAACCCAGCGCTCAACCACTGCGCCACCGGGAGGCCCTGTTGTTGTTTCTTTAAAGATTTATTTATTTATGCATACAAGAGCTGGGGTACAGGCCAGAGATGTGGGGGTGTGAGAGGATTCACCAGAGACAGAGTGGGGAGCAGAACAGGCAGACTGACTGAAACACACTGCTAAGGGAAGCAGCGGGTGAGACAGGAGAGGTCTGCTGCTATTGCTTCATAGTGCTGTGCTTAACCCCTTTCGCCACCAGGGAGGCTCCTTGTTGGTTTTTTTTTTAATTCACAAACTTCTTTGAGAATCTTAAGGAAACTATGGACTTTTTTCTCTCCAGAATTTGTATAAATGTACAAACTTTTCTATCTCTGTCCAGATGTATCAACGTCTGAAGGTCTGGTTCAGGGTTGGGGTTAGTGTCAAAGCACAGTACCCTTGGAATTAGGTCTGTGGTTAGAGGGAAGTAACCCTAATTGTAGGGTTACAATTAGGCCTGAATCAGGAGTAGAGTTTTCTTCTTTCTTAGTGTTGGATGCTTTTAAGATTTGTGGTTGTCCTTGAAATAAGGTTTGGCCAAGATTAAGGTTTTATTTAAAGTAGTGTTAGGGATTAAGTGCATATAAAACCTAGATCAGAGAGAGAATAGAGTATGACATCTAGGGCTAGATATATATCACTTGTTCAGCTGATGTCAGGGTAAAGGGTTGGTTGCTATGGGCAAAATTTACTCACTTTGGTCTAGGATTCTGATAGACTCCACGGAGACTCTGGCCCAGCTGAGTTGAAATTAGCCTCTAGCTCTACTCCCAGGACACTGGACCATGAGGCCCTTGCAGGTTGGATAGACAGCTCCTTTGTGCACCTATCAGCAGGCCTTGGTACAAGTGATGACACTGTCACTCAGCCATGCTATTCAGGCATAGAGAATGTCCCAGCCAGCCTCCAGCCTCCCCACCCCCCATTGGAACAGAAGTGGCTTCCCACCTGGCCTACTCCCCCTATTTAAGGGTTCCAGCCTTAGGCTTTTTTGATGGAGTTACTCATCCCAGGCCTCCTCCCATCCTCTTGGGAGGCTCATGAAGAAAGTTGAGGGGATTAGCAGAGCCTGTCTGTCAGGAGAATTGAGGTGTTCTGCCTACTGGTTTCCAGGGCCCCAGAAATCTCAGTGTCCTGGGGTGGAGGCGGGCATCCATCTACATTTGAAAGGCCTCTGTGTCTGTGTGGTGGAGACTAATAGGTTTATCCCCCTCAATGAGGGATGATCCTCTAGCTGACAGTCCTCTCGGTCTTGCCTCTCTCCCCACCAAGTAAGGCTCTGGGCATTGGCTCACAGTTAATGTTTTCTTTCCTTTCCTTTTTTTTTTTTTAAGATTTATTTATTTATTTGTTTGTATGTTTGTTTATTTATACAAGCACTGGGTACAGTCAGAAGTGTGGGAGGGTGAGAGAATTCACCAGAGCCAGAGCAGGGAACAGAACAGGCAGAAGGACCGAAGTACACTGCTGAGGAGAGCAGTGGGCGGCAGGAGAGGTCTGCGCGCCACGCGGGACCCTCCTCCGGTGGCCGGGGAGCAGCCGGGGATCGAACCAGCGCTGCAGAGGCTGCGGGCAGCTTCGCAACCCAGCGCTCAACCGCTGCACCACCAGAGAGGCCCTCTTTCCTTTCCTATGGGTGTAGTCATATTGCTCTATTTTCCCCCAGTTCTAGGCCAGGGGCACCCTGCCAGCCAAGTTCCAACTCAATCTTTCTTTAGCCCCAAATCCTTATATCCAGGACCACTGAGACCAGGCTAAGGACTTCCAGGCTCTTTGTGCTAAATAGAGTTTCACAGAGCTGGACACATGGGTTAGGGCAGAGGCCAAGAGAAGGTGTGCCTTTCTGTTCTTAGCTCTAGAGGGACAGGTAGTGCTTCCCTCAGAATCAGATCTTACAGCTTGTATCTCACCTCAGGCTACCTCTGGTGGTAATAGTGTATTTTCTACTCTTCTAACCTAGTGAAACTAGAGAACAGCCATTCTGCAGGGTAGATCACTGGCGTCTGTTGCTTGGGGTTCATTCCCGCAGGGATTGTCTTGGGGCAAAAGCTGGACATGTGGGCTCCTGAATCAGGCAGGGAAGGCCTGGGGAGAGGAATGCCTTGTAGGCCCATAGCCTTTCACCCCTCATTGCTCTTTCCCAGGTCTGGAAGTCAGCTCAGGCCTTCAACCCTGGGCTGCTGTGTGTGGCATGTGGCTCATACCGACGGGGAAAGGCCACCTGTGGTGATGTGGATGTGCTGGTCACTCACCCGGATGGCCGGTCTCACCAGGGCATCTTCAGTCCACTCCTTGACAGCCTTCGGCAGCAAGGTATAAGCACCATTTTTGGATGAGCAGGTTGGCAGGAGGCAGGACAGGGCAGGGCTGGGCAGGAGCGAAAGCTTCAAAGCTGCAGTCTGTAGGCAGGAAGCAGGACAGGACAGCTTTATGAGACCCACGTCCCTTGTGGCCGAGCATTTCAGAGAAGGGGTGAAACAGGCCCTTCGTACCTACACAGAAGTCCTCAATGATACTTGCAGGTTGAGCATGTCTCATCTGACGACGCTGTGGGGGGATGTGGGAGGACCTACTGTTTTACAGATAAAGAGATAGGCCCAGAGTGGGCAGTCATCCAGAAAATAAATGGGCAAGCTGGGAATAGAGGATGATGGGATGGCCCTGAGCCTGGCTCCCCTTCTCCATCCTCCAACAACCCTCCTGTGTTGAACCAGGTTTCCTAACAGATGACTTGGTGAGCCAGGAGGAGAATGGCCAGCAGCAGAAGTACTTGGGCGTATGCCGGCTTCCAGGGCCAGGGCGACGGCACCGACGACTGGACATCATCGTTGTACCCTACAGTGAGTTTGCCTGTGCCATACTGTACTTCACCGGCTCTGCCCACTTCAATCGCTCCATGAGGGCTCTGGCCAAGACCAAGGGCATGAGCTTGTCTGAGCACGCCCTCAGCACAGCTGTGGTTCGGGACGCCCAAGGCCATAAGGTGGGGCCTGGCCGAGTGCTGCCCACACCCACTGAGAAGGACGTCTTCAGGCTCTTAGGCCTCCCCTACCGAGAACCAGCTGAGCGGGACTGGTGACCCATGACTGGGGGCAAGGGGTGCCGAGCTGGACTGCTGCTCCATCTGGCCATCAGTACTGCCTTCCAGTCTCAACTGGCTGAATTTCAGTGTTTTAACCACCAGCTCCATGTGCCTGAGGAAGAGGACCTGCCTGGCTCCCAGGGTCTTCCTAGCTCTCTCCTCTCCAGAAACAGGCTATTATCCCTTCTACCTCACCACTGCCTGGTGGAGTTGTGCACCCACACAGCCCCTTGTCCTGTTTAAAGCAGGAACAGTAGCTGGTTTGAAGCTACCTTTCTGCGCTAAGTGCCCAGTCATTCCTCCTTCCCCACCCGGGGAGAGCCCTGCTGGGATGGGGGCAGTAAGGGGAGAGACAAGGAGCATCACCCATCACCCTGTGGAGCAGAATGAGCCCTTCTCCATGTACGTCACACACCCTGCTTCATGTGCTACTGGAGGTGTGGGGAAGGGGGTGCCCCTGACTGGGTGAGGGCTACATTTGAAGGCCCAGGAACTCAATAAAGTGCATTTGACATTCAACCTGCCTGGTGTCAGTGAGCTGCTATGGTCCCTGCCTGCCCTCTTCCACTCAGGTAAGGATGGAGATGGGGACTGAATGGGGACCCAGAAAGGCAGGTTAACTGCTCCCCCTACAAACAGGCTGGGCCTGAGTCAACTCAGACAGGGGTGGGTGGATATTAAAAGGAAGAACTCATGGGGCCTCCCTGGTGGCGCAGCGTTGAGCACTGGGTTGTGAAGCTGCCCGCAGCCTCTGCAGTGTGGGTTCGATACCCGGCCACCAGGTGAGGGTCCCACATGGCGCGCAGACCTCTCCTGCCTCCCGCTGCTCCCCTCAGCATTGTATTTCGTTAGTCTGCCTGTTCTGCTTGCCTCTCTGGCTCTGGTGAATTCTCTTACCCTCCCATGCTTCTGACTGTACCCAGTGCTTGTATAAATAAATAAATAAATCGTAAAAAAAAAAGGAAGAACTCATGGAGTCAGGAATTAGGAGTTCCTCTCTACCCATCAGGGTCTCCTGTGGGCCCTGCCCTCGGACAGGCTATCCGTGAACACAAGGGATCAACCAGTGGTAACCTGTGTGCCTCTGACAGCTGCCTGGAGGAGTGAAAGGCAGACTGACAGGAAATCCTGCTTGAGAAGGGTATGCAGGTCACGTTTGGGGATGATTAAGGACCCTGCTTTAGAGAGGATGCTGTATGTCAGGGACCAGGAGAAGGCCAGGCTAGGGAAAGATGGGAAGTCAAGCTGAGGGCTTGGTTTGATAGAGCAGATTACAGCCAGTTTGCCTGCTGGGACAGGATAGTTTTCAGAGACTGGACCTCGCAGGGCGGAGAATCTGGTGAGGGGAGCGTTGGTGTAGAGAAGGTTTGGGCATACCACATGTGACGAAACAGCATGGACGCAGGGGGAGGAGGCGGTGCTGGAGGAATAGTCAGGGTCCCGGAGAGGCCCAGGGCCTGAAGGGATTTTGAAGCAGAGTGTGAGTGGAAGTTGGGCTGCAGAGATGGGCTCAAATCTGAGTGCCCTGCACAAGAGGTAGGCTGCAGGAAGGCGCTAAGTCCTACAACTTCTGTAGCCTGCACAGTCCAGGAGCTGGCCTTGGGTGTGGTGTCAGAGAACTGAGTAACCTTAGAGTGGGCCCCTCGACTCTAGTTCAGAACCCTAAAGTCAAGCCATGGGCCTTGCCTGCCAAGAAAGGAAGCAAACAAAAGCCATGGAGTCTGGGAGGACTCCTTTCACAGCTCAGTCCCAGCCAGGGACAGCTGCATCCAAGGCCCGTGAGGGGCGAGCTTCTACCCCCCAGGAGGTATGGCGGCCCAGGGCCTGGAGTGGTCCAAAGGAGCTGGGGGGAAATCCCTGGCCCCCAGATGTTAGCACTGCTTTGGGTGCCTCCTCAAGCTCTGCTAGTTCTACTCCAGACCGGGCCCTCAGTAAGGGTCAGAGTTGGCAGAAGCCCAAAGCCTGGAGTGTTGGGGAGCAAATGTGGAAGTTATTTCTCCTTTCTGTTTGTTCCCACTTCAGTGCCCCAGGCTATTCAGCAGCCTCTCCAGGCCTGGAGAAATGGGGCCTTTAGGAGAAGAGAGAACCCATGGGTCATGGTTAACTTGGCTAATTAACCCCTTCTTCCACACAGGAAGCCCCTAGGAACACAGGGATAGTGCTGACTTCTCTGTCTGAAACCAGGGGCCTGGCTTCCATTCCTGCCAACCCCCCACCTTCCAGGGTACTTAGGATTACAGAGTCTGCTTTCAAACCATACAGACTTATGGCCTTACCTCCTGACAAGGGCAACAGGAAATCATGGAATAAAAAGGAAGAGTGCCCACTACTTCTAGAAAGATCCTGGTGGTGGTCTCCTTGCTCATCTGACACAGGAGCCCAGGGGAACGGCCAATGGGAGGATTTCTGTGTCTTCAGAAAGTCTGTCCAATTTGAAGGGGGTATTGTTCTCTGAGCCCGACGCCAAGGGTGTGCTGGGCTGGAGGGGCTCGCTAGCCACTTCAGAGTCTGAACCTGGTTCCTGGTCAGGCTTTCAGCCCAGTCTTCACCCTGGAAAGAGAGATTGTGTTTCAGAGCCCTGGTGGGAACTGGCAATCTGTCCAGCAATTGAGCATCTCCCCAAACCATCACAAAGTCACCATGTGGTCCTGGGGAAAAGAGAGTCCCAGCAAGCCTGCCCCCGACCCCAGCTCACCACCACTCTGTCACTGAGCCAGATTTGTTTCTGGCCGGACCTCATGTGTGGTAGGCAGTATAGTGACTCCACCTGCCACCTGCTCCCAAAGATACCCACATCCTAATATCTGGAACCTGTGACTAAGTTACGTTATTTGGTGAGAGGGACTTTGCAAGTGTGATTAGGGTCAAGGGTTTTGAGACAGAGGAACTAATCCTGAATTATCCAGTGGCCCTAATCTAATCCTGAGTCCTTAAAAGTGGAGAACCTTCCCCAATATAGAGGGAAGGTCAGAGATGGGATGTTTCTGACTTTGAAGATCAAGAAGGCAGGCCACCAGCCAAGGAATGAGGGCAGCCTTTTAAAGCTGGAACAGGCAGGTAATCAGATTTTACTTCAGCGCTTCCATCAGGCAACACAACCCTGCTCACACCTTGATTTTATTCCAGTGGAGGCAGATTTCTAAACAATAGAATCTATTATGCAATGATAATCTTGTGTTGCTTTAAGCCACTAAGTGTGTGGTAATGTGATCTTACAAAAGAGAACCAGATGTGTCTTGGCTCTTCTATACAAATTGTGTGTAAGGACCTTGGGTGTGAACAGGCTTGGCTGTGAGGTGGAGAAGGTCCCCTGAATAGCTCGGTGTGGGGGAGAGGAGGAGGCCTCCTACATCCGGAGGGGTGGGGGTCTGGTGGCAAGCAGAGCCCGGGGCTCCCGCATGTGACTGGCACAGTGTGAGCCTGTCACTGACCTCTCAGGGCTACTCTGCCCAGGCCTACCGAGCTAGGAGCCTCACCTCTTCCCACGGCTGGGGATGACGACACTGGCCCAAGTTGCACTGAAAAGGGGAGAAGATAAAGCCAGGCTTTCTTCCTGGGTTCTGGCTGTTCATGGTGTGTGTGTGTGTGTGGGGGGGGAACAGGCATGTACAGGGGGCCAGGGGCCTCCCAGGCCTGGAGTGGGCATGACAAGCTTGGCAAGCCCAGCTGTGTCCTGCCGTACAGGATCCAAGGGCTGGGAACGTAAAACCCAGGCCATTTGTCCTGCTTTTCCAGACAGCTATGGAATTCCTGTCCCTTTAAATGGAACATGGAACATGATGCCTTTGCCAGGACTAGGGACTACAACTTGGAGAAGACGTTGGCCTTATTCCCTCTTTGCTCCAACAGAAGAGCTCCTTTCCAGACTCCCCACTATCTCAGAGATTGGCCTCCCGTGGAAGTACAACTGTGGGGCAACTGCTACCCAGACTGGACACATTCAGGCACTGCCCCAGCCTGGGATGGGCTCAGCCCCATGACCTTCAGCTCTAGTCCACTCTACTTCAGTCCAGGCACCAGCCAGCTTTCCAGAAGGCGTGAGTCCCAGGGCAGCCCTGCTTCTGAGCTCTGGGACCGGGGACCCCCCCAGGTCTAAAGCCCTCAAGCTGGTCTGAGATACTCAGCCAGAGATACCCTACCTGGGGGTCCTCAAGGCCTGCTCCCCCACACTGGAGGTCAGTGCAGAAGCGAGCCCCAGCAAAAGACCTAGTGGGACCATTCCTGAATAAGGCCCCAGAGATTAGGAGAGAACCCAGGGGTCGAGGGACTATGGGGAGGGCTCTGAGGATGCCGGCTGTGTGGCTGAGGAGCTGTGGAGTCTTTTCTGGCCCTTCACTCTGCTGGGCTTGGGTCTGCCCGATAGAGCAGGCCCCAAGCCTCAGACAGTGTTCTTCGAGAGCAAGCCCCGTTAGCCACTGCCACTGCCCCCACTCATTGGGCCTGGGCTCCCTCAGCTGTCACTGCGCCCTGGTGTTTCACTGCATGTTCATGCGCTCATGTGCCTCACGTGCCGACCTGGCCTGTTTGTGCTCTGTGTGTTCCTGATTTGGTATCTGTGGGTGTGTGGGCGACCCCGGGTGTTTGTCAGCGTGTCTGTCTATCCCGAGCTCTTAGTTGCCTGCCCCAGTGTTGTCAAGGGCTCAGGCAGGACCTGGGGGACGGAAGGGGGTCCCTGGAAGTCCCGTGTGGTACCAGGCGGGGACTGCATACGTGCTGGATCCCTGGGCTCTGGACGCTGGGTCCTTAAGTCCACGGAGGCGGCCGCAGGGCGGGCCGCCTGCGTCAGCCTTGAGCGGCCATCAATAGCGCGCGGTTAATTAATTTGATGGGAACAGCAGGGACCGCCGTTTGCATTTAGTGAAGTTCCAGGAACTTCCAACCTCATCTTCATAATTGGCCTCATAAATTGTAAGAAAGAGAGAGATCAGCAAAGCGGGAGGGAGGAGGGGCTGCCCGTCCGTCCTTATTTAATTTTATTGCTGAAATTCATCTTTTTAGCCTCCTCCGGAATCGGCTCTCCCTGCCGGATTTGCCTAATCATGATAAATTAATATTCATTTCCCCACCTCTTACCCAGCTCCCGCGCTTGGATGGAGTTGGGGAGGGTCTCCATCCAGCCCCTCCGCCAGGCCTCTGTGCACCTGAGGGTAGGGAACTGAAGGGGAGTTTGCAAACAGAATAGAAAGTGGAGCCTGGGGAGCTCAAGAGGGAAGAGGTGGGTGCTGTTACTGTGGGGGGCCTGAGGGGAGATGATTGATTGGGGTTCCCAGATCAGAGGCTCCTGAGGCAGGAACAGCCTGGGGTGGGGGTCCAGGATGCTGGGATCAACTACCCCAACCTGGCCAGGGCTGGGTGTGAGGAGGCAGAAAGAGCCTGGGGTCAAGGTTGGGGGCAGTCAGGACTGATTTGGGAGATGGATTTGGAGAGCCAGCTCTGGTAGAAAGGCAGGGCAGAGGAGGTTGGTTGTCTACCCACTCTGGTCTTTGCCCCATCCCCCACCAACTAGATGCAGGCCACCTTGCCCTATGCAGATGTCATGAGGGGCACAGCCTAGTCTGTGGGTCCCACAGCCTGGTCCAGCTGGGTGGCTGGACCCCTTAAGTGGGCACCTTCCCGGAGCAGTGCCATTGTCCCAGTTACTGATCTTCCTTGGTGATGCCCTTTAAAGGTCTGCAGGGAAGTGCTGATGAGTGTAACGCAGTCCTGCTTTTCTCTGGGCAGTGGGGGGGCCACCTACAGTCCAAAGGATCAACATTCTGTCTTCTTGCTTCACAATTAGTATGTGAGACATGAAAAGGACTTCAGGTTTCATCCAGTTCCTTGCCCCATTTATCAGGTAAGGAAACTGAGGATCAAAGATCAGAGGTGACTGGCTCCAGAATCATGGAAGTGAGGAAGCCTAGGACACGGAGTAAGGGATGCTTTCATCCCACTTGGAGGCTGGGTGTGGTGAGCAGGAGTCTATGACTCCCATGATCCTTGCCCTTGTATACTTCCCTTCTTTTGAGTTCCGGTGGAGTCATCACTTACCATTGTTGTTAGTCCTATTCATGGTGAGATTACTTCTAATAGCAAAAGGGAGAGTATCTGAGTGAGCCTCATAGTTTCAATGTAACTGGCCAGTAGAAGAAGGGGTAGAGAGATTTAAAGCATGAGGGGGGTTTGAAAATAGAGGAGTCCATGTGCAATGACCATGTGCAATGTCTTCAGGATGAGAGCAGCCCCTAGCTCACAGCCAGCAAGGAAACTGGGCCCTTAGTCCTACAAACACAGTAGCTGAATCCTGCCACCAACAGAATGAACAAGGAAACTGATTATTCCCCAGAATCTCCAGACAAGTGCTCAGACTGGCCAACACCTTGATTTTGGCTTTTTGGGCCCCTAAGCCCAAATTCAACTGAACCTGCCTAGATTTCTGGCCTATAGAATTATAAGATAATAAATGGCTAAGTTGGGCCTCCCTGGTGGCGCAGCGGTTGAACACTGGGTTGCGAAGCTGCCCGCGGCCTCTGCGGCGCCGGTTCGATCCCCGGCTGCTCCCCGGCCACCAGAGGAGGGTCCCACATGGCGCGCAGACCTCTCCTGCCGCCCACTGCTCCCCTTAGCAGTGTACTTCGGTCCTTCTGCCTGCTCTGCTCCCTGCTCTGGCTCTGGTGAATTCTCTCACCCTCCCGCACTTCTGACTGTACCCAGTGCATGTATAAACAAAACAAACAAACAAATAAATAAATAAAACATGCCTCTATTAAAAAATAAAAATAAATAAATAAATAAATGGCTAAGTTTGTGATAATTTGTTATGCGGCAGTAGAACATTAACACGCAGGATTTAAGGAAGGGTGTCTTAAGAGACTCCTATGATGGTGGGAAGGGAGATGAATTTGGGGGAAGTCTGAGGCTCTATTTTAATGCTACTTCCCTCCCCCAAATTCTCACATTGCAACAATTGACTGGAGCTATTCTCTAGTTGCCAAAGCCCTCCCTATTGTTTTACTTGGGACCAAACCCTCATAAGCATTTAAATTTGGGGCTCTTCCAGGTGGAGGCTGGGCCCCAGGGATCAGTGAGTTCACTTCTCACAGGAATGAGTCCTCAACAGGAAAAACTTCTAAGGAATTGGCTCCAAGTAGAGTCTTCCAATATGCGGGCACCATGGGCCAGCTGATAACTTAGTTCCCTGCCAAACCAGTTCCCCTTCCTCATCTCAAGTGAGAGTTTTCAAAAATATTTTTCATGGAGCCTCGGTGGGTATTGACAAGGTTTTTGATTCTCACTTGGAAGGCACCAACTTCTATGGAGGCTGGGGAAGAAAACAGATTTTGCAAATTATGGAAAGAGTCTCCAGTGTGGAGATCCAGGTTAGCTGCACCACCACATTTCTGGTTTATCACGGTTTCAGCAGCATTTATTGATTGATTCTTATGCCTGCCAGTCCACCTTTAACTTGCCTCTGCATGTGGATTATATCATGAGGCCTTCCCAACAGCCCTGTGGGTAACTGTATTATGCCCATTTTGCGGATGAGAAAAGGGAGGCCCAGGAGACTTGTGCTAAATCACACAGCAATGAGGAATAGAGCTGAGTTTCAACTCAAATCTCTCTGACCTAGGAAGCCTGTTTCCCTTGCTCCCCACGGGAAGTGGCTCTAGGCAGGATCTAACTGACCTTTCTGCCCTAACCTCACTTCCTTCTTCTCCCAGGTACTCAAAGCAAAGAGCCCTGAGCTTTCCATCTGTGGAGGATTCCTAGTGTCGGTGTTGAAGGACACAGTTCCTAGCCCTGAAATCTGGGAATTTTTGAATCAGCAAAATGTTCACTTGTCCTGAGTTGGGACCCCCGAGACCTCCCACCTCCATGAGGGAATTAGAAGCATGGGAACACTAACTCTTAAGCTGCAGCCCTGCTGTATGCAGGTGTCTTGGCGCTATAGCTCACATGTGTCTTTATACATGCCTGACCTGCCCCCACAGACCACCCCAAACCCCACCTTGTCCCTGGACACATCTGAACCCTCCCTCAAGCCCCTCCCCTCCAGCATACCTGACTTGTTCCAAAGTGGATGCCTCACAAGGCCGGATGAGCGCCTCCCCTGGCCTGAAATACCCTCTGCCCCCAGTTCTTGGCCTCCCCTGAAGATCTTCTCTCATCACCATGACCTTGGACTCAGTGCTGTACGTCAGCGCTTTGGGGTCACTGTGCCAAGGATCTCTGGTGAAGCCTACCTACCTGCCTGCCAAGCCATGCACCTCACTGGAAAGGAATCACCCCTGCCTTGCCCCCTCCCTCCCAAGTCGCCTAATGGGAAGAAAGTCCACAGAACCCCAGGAAAGAGGGCCTACAGGTCTTGCCCTTCTTCTGCCGGCCAGAGAAGAGTCTTGGAGCGCCGGACAGCCCCAGCTCCCCGGCCAGGGGCCACGAACTACAGCCCCCACTTCAGCACTGAGCCTCAAGCCCCCCACCTTGAGGGGGCCCTGTCCCGGCCCTGCCCAAGTACCTGTGGAAACTGCAGGACTCAGTGGAGGAGGACGGCTCCCGGGAGCGGCCCGAGAGAGCCCCCCGCAGCGCGCAGTGCGGCCCGGCCGCGCCCGGGAGTCCGACTCCACGGGCCGGCGTCGCGCTCTCCCCACCCCAAGCCTCAAGTTCGGTCGTGCGGGCCTCGCCGCCGCCAGCCCACAGCAACGGCCGGACGAACAGGCCTCTCGGGAATCCGGACCGGGAACGGCCGCTCCGAAGCCAGGGAATGACTGGGCCGGGGCGACCCCCAGGGGTCAACTCGGGGCCGGGCGTCGCGACAGCCCGGAAGTCGCGGGCCGGGCCGGGCATCCCGCGGGTGTGCCGTGGGCGGGGCCGGGCGTGCCGTGGGCGGGGCCGGGGAGGGCGGGGCCGGGCGTGCCGTGGGCGGGACCGGGCATCCCGCGGGCGGGGCCGGGGAGGGCGGGGCCGGGCGTGCCGTGGGCGGGGCAGGGAGGGCGGGGCCGGGCTCCCGCGGGCGTGGCCGGGGCGGCCGGGGCCGGGGCGGGCGGGGCAGCCCCGTCCTGTGCGGCGGGCGGCGGGAGGCGGGGTGCCGCCCATGGGGGCGCTTCGCGGAAGGCGCCAGCAGAGGGCGCGCGAGGACCGGAGAAGAGGCGCGGCCGCGTGCGAAGGCGGGGAGGGGGTGTGGTGGAGAGGGGGCGGGTGCCGGGAGAAACCGCCCCCCGACTTCTCTCGGGTCTCGGGGTGGGGGCGGGGCGGGGAGCCTCCGGACTGCCCCGCCCCCACCCCGCGGCCCCCGGCCTCCCTCAAAGAGGCCGCGGGTGGGTTTGCGGCCCCGCGCACCCCGTCCTGGGTGGTGGATCCTGCCCGTCACCCCTCAAGGCGTCAGGGACTCGCGGCTCCAGCGCTGGCGACTTTGGCACTAAGTCGGGTGAGCCCCTGCCCCAGACTCACCTCTGGGCGGGATTCTGTGCCTCAGTTTCCCCTGGGGAAGTGCGATCCTTGCTCCTGGAAGCTCTTAACAGAGACGACCCCGAGAGCTGGAATCAGTGCCCCCCGCTGCCCCCGCTCCCCTTCGCAGAGCTTGAGGGAGGAGGAAAAGCTGGGGAGAGGAGAGGCGTGAGCGGTGGGGGGCAGGTGGCCCCGAGACGCGAAGGCGCGGCCGAGAGGAGGGCGGCGCGGAGGGGAGCGGCGTGGGGCCCGCGCGGGGCCGAGCCCTCTCCCGGGAAGCTGTCCGGGGACCCGGGCCAGACGCGCCTCCTCCGGGCGGCGCTGGGCGCCGAACCCCGCGCCCGTACGCCGGGGACCACCACGCCACCCGAAGCCCCGCTCCAGCCGCCATGATTTATGGCTGGGCCAGGCCCGGCGACCTTGGACGGATAACTAATGGCAGGTCAATAACGCTACAGAAAAAGTGAACTGGTTAGTGTGGGGGGAAGGGGCCCTTAGTCGGCCCGTCCTTCTCCTCCCAGCATCTTCTCCCTAACCCCGTGCCTCTCGCTTTCGTCCCCTCCCTCTGGGGTCCCCTTCCCGAGGAGGATCTGAGTAGGGGGATGGGGGGAGGGTCCTGGGAATACTTCCTTCTCTCACGTTCTGTGGAGGGGAGTCACGCTGGGAAGTCAAAGTGGCAGGTGTAGTTGTCAGGCTGGCATTACCCTGCACCCTCACCCCCTCACACACACACCCCTGGCTCCCTCTCCTGGCCCATATGTTTGGAGGTGTCCTCTGCCTCCCCCACCCACCGTCTGCAGTCAGAGTGCTTACTTTAGCCTGGGCAGCACCTTATGTTTGCGGTGGTCTGGCTTGCAGAAGGGTTGTAGGAGTTAGGGGCCTGCCACTCAACTCCTAGATCATCTGGCTCTATTGAGAGTGAACCAAGGCCTTCTCCGCCCAGCTCGGGCAACTCCCCTACCCCTGTTTTAAGTCACCTGGATCCCCAGTCTGTTTTGGACACCCCAGGGCCCCCAGAGTTGGGAGGAAGGAAGCAGCTCTCGCAATATCTGACTCGACTGTATCTGATCTGTCAGCAGCAAGGTTCAGGGTAAATGTGTTCCATTTTGTGGATGGAGAAGTTCAGGGAGAGGAACAGTCAGCAGATGAAGGAGTTGAGACTCAATTTCAGATCTTCTGGCTCCAAATCATCACCTCAGGGTTCTGGACTCTTCTTTCAGTTAGCTCCTCCTTAACTCTTAACCAGCTCTGTAGGCTGAGGAGACACCAAGGAGCAGGCACTCAGGCGAGGGCATTCTTTCCCTAAGTAGACATGAGTGATGAAACAGCCCCGGCGGAAGAATAGAGCAGTGGTAGTGGGCTGCGGGAGTATATGGCTCTGCGGGTACCCCGTGTGGTGGTGGGGACTAGATGCCCAGTGTGTGTGTGTGCGCTTGTGGGTGCACATCCATCCATGCATTCACTTGATCTCTCAGCCACCCAAACAGATATTGAGTGGCTACCACACCTGGGGACTCAGGGCAATGTTAGGGAACTTGTATTTTAGCAAGGATGGGTATGTTTAAGAAGCCATGTTCCCGTTGCGTGTGTCCATGTGTGGACTCGCTGCAGCACTGAGGCACATGTAAGTTCCAGGCCCATGCAGGATGGAGACACTGTCTTCACAGATCCCTTTGACTGCACACTAGACCTTCAGACTTACTGGCTGGTTCCAGCCAAACTCACTGCCTTCTCCTTCATGTTCCCTCGTTCTACAGTCTTACATGCTCAACCTGAGAGATCCCTGGAGCCAGGACTGGCTACATAATTTTTGGGGCCCAGTGTTAAATGAAAATGCATGCTTCCTAAAGAATGATAAAGAATTTCAAGACAGAGTTAACTAAAGCAGAAGGCCCTTGTAAATGCGGGGCCCCCGGAACTGCACAGGTCACATGCCACACTTGCCTGGTGCCTTCCACAAGCCTCCTTTTCCATCCATTGACCTCCTTTGCTGTGTTGGGTGCTAACTCCAGCCTCTTGGGTCTCTTGCATGCACCTATGCCAGCTCCTGCTAGGCCCCCTAGCCTGCAGCCTCTTTCCAGCTCCAGTATCTTGGCTCCCGTTGATCTGATAAGTCTGGTTCCTGCTGTACTCAGCACCATTCACCTGGACTCCTGTCCCTTCTAGACTCTGGCCTCAAATACTCCCTTACACTTTTCCATACCTTTTTCCAGAATTCAATTCCTTTTGAAAATTGACTCTTCCTTTAGCCATCTCCTCTAGGAAGACTTCTGATTTTACATTTGGAAATCTCATATCACAAACTGTGTAGCTTGGGTCAAAACAAATCATCTGCCTTCACTCATAGTCATTTGTCTGCCCTTTCAGGTGTAGACTTAAACTTCTAGAAGACAGGGATGGTGCCGTATTTATTATCGTGGTAAAGCCACAATACCTAACTGACCTGTGCCTGGGAGGGAGTCAGTTAGTATTTGTTAATGCAGATGTTGGCATCTTTTGCACATGGGGGTGGGTGTATTTGGAGCCCCTGAATTGTGTACAAAGAACTGTAAGGGATGGTGTCCCAGACACAAGCTTTTCTGCTTATGTGTATACATATTTTCCCGTCAGTGCATATACCAGCATGTGCATGGAGCATACATGTGCACGACCATAAATGCTTTTTGTAGGTGTGTGCACGAATTGCAGGTGCCTGGGCAGGCAGGTGTCTGTGTGCATCGGTTTAGGTTGGGGGGCGGGTGTGTACCCTGATTTGGGCATAGGTGTACGCCTGTGCTTGGCAGAAAAGCCTATGCCTGCGGTCTCGGGAGGTGCAGATCGGTTGTGCCTGGACAGGAGCGGCAGGTGCTCCCTGCAAGGACACCGGCGGTTGGCGCGTGTGCCCGCCATGTGTGTGCACAGCTGCGTGTCCTGGCCCCGAGCCGGCCGGACGCCCAGTGCGTCCCCTGCACCCGCTGAGCGCTCCGCTTTGTTCCTCCGCCGCGGGCGGCCGCGTGGGTTCCCGGCTTGGGCCTGGGCGTCTCGGGCCCCGCGGTGATTGGCGGGCGGCGGGCGGCTCGGGCCCCCTCCCGGGCGGGCGGAGCCGGATCGGCTCCGGTTACCGGCGCAGAGGGGTAGGGGGTGGGGGGGGGCGGGGCGCGCCAGGCCATCCATCTTCTGTTATTACAGCGTAATGGGGCTGCTCGGGCGCCCGCCCATTTGTCATCGGCCTCGTTCGCTGATAACGGGCATTTGTCATCACTTTCCTCTGCGCCAATGTCATCAGCGCCGCTGACAGGCGGGGGAGGGGGTGCGGTGTGGGGGGGCTCGCATGCATGAGCACAGGCGCACACACATGCACGTGGGCCTGCTGGACACACGCTCAGTCATATACACACAGGCACACGGAACCTGAGGGGGCACACCAAACCTGGGGGGACACATGTCCCTGTGCGGGGATCAAAGCTCCCTGGAGAAGGACGCACTTGCAGACAAACTCAGAACAGCCTCATCTGTCAAGCTGATATTCCCAGCTGGAGATCCTCTTCCCCAGTTGAGACGTGTGCTGGGGGAGGGGCTGCTGGTGCTCCGCGGTTAATGGCAGTTTGAGTGCAGGTGGCCCTCTGCCAGCTTCGTGTGCACACGTGTGACATCAGCCCTCAACGTTTATTGGGACCCCCAAAGGTTCTTCAGGCCTGTGTGTGTGCAGGCCATGACAGCACAGGGACAGCCAGGCAGGCTTCCCAGCGCTCAGACACAAGAACCTTGGCTGAGTCTGCAGGGCCGGGTGCTGGGCCATGGAATGAGGTGGAATGATGGGTGGCCGGCTGGCAAGTGGTGAGATGGTGGGAGGTACTCCCTAAAATGCCTTCTCTCAGTTTTCCAGGGACAATGTAGACCTTTGCTTCTGGCCCTGTCCAGGTGCTAAGTCTCGGCTGATATGCAGCAAGAGGGACTTAAGAAAGATTCCAAAAAGAACTTCCAGCCTTGAAAGGGTGGGAGGCAGGTTGGGGCAGGGATGGCGCTGGTAGCCAGGAGGGGAGCTTGGAAGGCAGTGAAGGTCTCTTATCTATGCCCTGTGCCCTCTGGGCTGGGTCAGGGCCTGGGGCGTGGATGCTGCTTT